TTCCCACTACTGATACAGAAAGGCCTGTCAAGCATCCTTTCCCTATTGCCTTCCTTTCAAAGGTACCAGTGCTCCTGTAATTGCAGTGACACAGGTGAGCAGGAGCTGAGGCATGAGCTAACAACATTGGCTTGCTGGATACATGTCCTTTCTCCAGACTTCATTGGCAGAGAGGTGAACCCACTGTGGCCAAGCCACCAAATATGCTGAATCTTCATTTCAACACGCTTTCACCTTCATCTCTGTAGCTGGCTCCCCCAGCACTGGCCAAGCTGGAAGCCATACTGTACGGTCCCAGACTCCATCCCCTCCCGCAGCTTCCAAAAAATGGCACAGTTTTTTTCTTGCTGACCTAATACATTCACCCACAAGCATGTGCCTGCCAATGAAGGTACAGTTTCAGTTTTTAAGTACTTTTGCAGGATATTCGAGTTAATAAAAATATTATAAAGCTCTGACTGGAACTTTCTTGGAACGTGTATCTCTTAAATCCAGAATATTCAGAGATGACAACACAATTTGGTCTATAGACAATTTTCTTGCCTTGGTGCCTTGTTAAATTCAGTCTGCATCGTATCCCAGACAACTCTTCTCACATGTGATCATGTATACACTGAATTCCATGGCAAATGTCTGCAGCAAGAGTTGCTAAAACATGAAGATTAAACTGAACTGAGAATTGAACCCTTTTTTTGCTTGTTTTTCTTGGTAAACTAGAATCAGGGGGAAAATACTTATTATTTTTCCAGAATTAAAAATTCAGTCATTTTGTCATCTTTATGATAACTGATGAGATCATGAAACAGTGAGTGTGCAGCAATTCGTAAGTGAAAGCTGGCATCAGGTGCTTTTCCAGACAAGCTGAAATTATGAGGCTATTATTTGCCTGTGTAGTCTATTATTACAATCCAAGTTATGAATTTGGATAAAAGTGAATTTAGTTAAAACTTTATGAACTTTCAGTCTGGCAGTGCTCACAGTAAACATCCTCGAGGCCTCCTAGAAATTATCCAGCTAATCCTGGGAAGAGCAAAATTGACATTCCTGTTAATTTTGACACAAAGATCACAGCGTATTTTCATTAAAAAACAACCCTTACAGGTCCTTTCCAGCACCTTATGTATGAGAGACAAAGCCAATTAAAACAAAACTATGTATAACATATTTTTGGGTTTTTTTAATATCATATGATAGATTTTGCAGACTGTTTATTGAGAAATTTTGCTATTAGTGAGCTCTTTCGTATAGTTGCCCATGGGAAGCTCTGTCACCGGAACAAAGTAAAATTAAACTAAAGGAGACCTGGAAGACGAATGATGTTTTTAACAGCCAGGAGATACACTGGAAAATGATGATTCTTGCTAATTTATGTTTCTGCAAAGTATATGGTCCCAAAACCAGAAGAAAATAGATGTGCAAGATAAAGAGTACATCTAGAAATGTCACTTTGGAACAGAACTGTATCTGAAGAAATCATTCAATACCATTTTAGGACAATGATCTAATTTTTCAAAAAGGATATCATAGCCATAGGAATCCCAATGACCTCCTAGGTGGATAGCCAGGATGGGAAGAGAGAGGTGAACAGCCAGTCATCACTATCTTTTCCTCTTCTGTCCTAATATCTGTCCCACCTATAACATTAAAGTCATGCTATTGTTCCAAAAAAGCAGGTGGTGGCAGGATTCCAGGTTTACATTGCCAAAATGCTATCCAACCCAAATGAGAAAAGAAATTGTAGATTTAGTTTTGTTTCCCTGCCTGTTCAAAAAATTGTTTTTGGACAAACAACCAGCAAAATTAAATTAAACATATGGCTGATAAATGAAGTACAGAAGAGCAGATGGAAAAAAACCCTGGCTACCATAGGTACTTTAAAGCAGTGTTGGCTTCCATGGACTGTTATTACACATCCTTTGCTGAAAACTGTATACCCTTCACAATTTTGAACCTCCTGTGTGTTTCCTCATATTTTCAATCATATTATTACATACTAGAAATATGCATAAGGGAAATTATTCTACACATTTTATGGTGTGCTGTTGCTTGTAGCAGTAATTGAAGTACCTTTTCCACTTATGAAAGTACTAATTTTATTTGGTTTTATTGCTTTTCTAGATGCAATTATTTATTTAGTGTGTTTTGGCTTTATTAAATTATGTTTACTATAGGAACATCATAAAAATGTATGAAAGCAACACATCAGCCACTACTGCCCAATGACCTGTTTTGGGGAATCTAGTGTTATTTTTCATATCCAAACATAATAGAATAAAGTAAGAATAAAGAGATAATCTACACTAGAAAACAATGCAATTTTGAGATAATATAATAAAACACCTGGACAATATGATTTCATAAATCTTAGTTCTAAAATTTACATGAGCTGGGCGTTGGGGCAGCTATTTTTGGACACGCAGCATTTTCTACATGGAAACCTAACACAAAATGCAATTAAACGGCAAAGGGGAAAGTATATACAGATTTAGTTTGCCCTGAGCAACTGATTTGTACAAAGCAATGAAATATTTCCACTCCAAAAGATGCACCGGCCTGTACTGGTTTTAGGAAATGTAGAGTCTTACTCTGGCAGCGACCAACAGCGTTTGTAAAGTTTCATGACATTTGTTCTTAGGAGGCTTTTCACATGTAGCATCTCATTCTGTTTGTAGGGTCTGAGTTAACTCCCACTGAAGTTACCAGCAAAATTCCCGATAGCTTCAAACAGAGAACAGATTTTCTATTAAACACTGTGAATAAGATCCTGAATATTTTCAGGTATTACCATTATTGTGTTCAGCCTCAGCTTAGCTCCTCTATTTAGGTTTCGTACTACCTACTAGATAGATGGGCACAGACAGTTATGAAATCTCAAAAGGAGTCTTTAACAAATCAAAAAAGCAAGCAAGTTAAATACCTAGAAACTGAGGGTAGATACATTCAGGCTAGAAAGAAGAGGGGAAGGCTTAATTAAGCATCAGAGCAGTTAACCAGTGTTTTTTCTAACTCCTTAATCCAAAGTTGAGATGGGACAGATATCTTTCTAAACATTGTATCTTAGTTCAGTCTGAACATATAAAGAAAAGAAATATGTGTGATTTTCTTTCTGTGTTACAGATGAGATCAGGTTATGTGACCCATAGCAAGTCCTTTTACATTGTAAGGCCAGAGAATTCCTTGAAAACAGGAACATTTTTGTCTATTTAACGCTGCAGAATTTAATAGTGAATGAGGACCAGAAGCTGAAATCAAATGGGATTACCCATGCAAGGGGGGAAGAGCATGTGAATGATCAAAACCAAAGACTACAATTTTACAGACACCAAGCCCTGAAAATGGCCTTTACTCACATGCACAGATCAAGTGACTTCAGCATTACCCCTTGCATCAGCAGCTGACGAAAGTCTTTCAGGATCAGATCTACAAAGGAGAAAAGAGATTAAATTCATGCTTGAAAAGTGTAAACTGATCCACCCAGAGGGAAACAATCTGAAATGCAGACTGTGAGCAACTGTCAAGGCAAAATGAAAGGATTCCAGAACAGTGCAAAAGACAGGAAGCAGGGGAGCCCAGGGACTGATTTCAGAGGATATTAGATGTTTATCTTTTTAGCCAGAAGACAATGTAATAATTATTCAAACACATTTCAAGGAAACAAGAATCATTCATGTTAAATCAGAAAGGAATAAATAGTAGTAAATAAAACAAAATTACATAAAGGAGATGCTTGGTGTTGAAAAATGTTGATTGTCATTTTCTTCATTATAACAGTTAAGTACCTTATAGAAATCTTTTCTGTTTACAAACTTCAAGTCAGTTTTCAACTCATGACTGGCAAAGTCTTTCTTGAGGATTAAGAGCTTGGTCTCAGAGATGCAACCCTTTCGGTAAGGTATAGTTTTGTGACTGCAACAAATTATATGGCTGAAATGTTTTTTTAAAAGCATGTCCTTTCTAGGTTTAAACCTGAAAACGTAAGTTATATTCACGTAGAGTATGGCACCCAAGAGGATAAGAGAACAAATTTCCCAGTTCTTCACCTGCATAGAGCCTTATTACTTCACCCTTCTTCATCCTTCGGCAGATGAACTGAAATCCATTTCAAGTACTAGGGCCCCACATACACACCCAAAGCAACTCTGTTGCTAGGTTTTCTAAGGTGGGTTTGACACTAACAACTGACTCCAACTGATAAGCCAACACATATATAGGAACATAAGACAGGACCTTCCTCCTCTAAGCCATCCGAGTCTGGATGAGGGCCCAAATAGCAGTAGCTTGCAACACTTGGCAACTGTTCCCTGACCCCCATTAAATTTGTTCGGTAAAACCTCTTGGTAATGTATCTGTTAGTTAGGTATAGTTTTAATTCTAAAACTCAACTAGCATAATATATCAGATGGTGCTGGTGGTAAGACCCTTGTTCCAAACTCATCTCATCTACAGCGTGGCAAAAGTGTTAAAATCCCTTCGAGGTGACAGTAACTCAACTCCACCCATTTCTGCTTTGCTCTGCAGACCCTTAACACATTTTTTGATGCTGCTAAGAAACATAAAGGGAGGCACTGTGAGTGAGTGTGATTATAGATGTAACTGTTCCAAGGTTTACACCTGAGAAGCAAATCTGGTATAAGTGTTTTAAATTGTGAAATCTGCAATAACTAAAATTAAATTGGAAAATTTAGGATTAGATTAGAGGAACTGAATAATTTGCTAATACACTTCTTTCAAAATTGTAATATGTGAATTGTCAAAACATTCAATACATAATTTTGAAAAACAGAGAAAAACTGCAAGTGAAGCTAAAAATCCTACTATTCTGTTTTTTTTTATTTCATCTTCTATGAATCAACTCTAATACAAAGTAAACTGATTAATACCAGAGTAGAATTACTATGTGTGAGAGAAGAAGTAAAGCCTCTTCCATAGAATATGTAAGGTGTCTTTTACATTCAGCCATAACAACTTTATAACTGTAATTTGTTGGTTCTGTTTCCTAGCCGAAAATCACAGAGGAGAACTTAACGTATGCTGAACTTGAACTTATGAAGCCAATGCAGGAAGCCAAAGGCATTCCCAGTACAACAGTCTATGCACAGATACTCTTTGAGGAGAACAAGCTGTAACAGATCTCATGCCTGTATAAATGTCCTTTGTCTGTGTTCTATTTAATTCTTGCTGTGCTGTTTATTTATAAAAAATCATACAAATATCCTCATTTGTTTACTTCCATTCATGCGCTTCTATATTTTTATGAGACTTTTAAACAAAATGCCATTGAAAGTAATCATAGAAAAAGCAGCTGGTCTAGAAGTGACATCCCAGAGATATCCTCTGTAGCGTCTGGCCTCCCCTTTTTAAGGGACTAAAGTTCCACCTGGCCAGGAAATTCATCAAATTACTATTGTTTTCCCTATCAGAAAATATTAATTCAGTAAAGCTGAGACTCTTTCACAGCAAAGGAGAAAATTTAATTACTTTTTCTGCATTTTTCCCCTAGAAATAGTTATCAAAGTTTGGTTTTCATATTTTCATTCCAAATTTCTCTTTCCAGATGACATTATATTTAAAAACTTAAGTTACTTTTAGTAAAACTGCTTTTAAGTGCTTGAAATCAAACATTTTAAAATAATCCAAATGAAACATTCCAAGTTAAACCAAATGGATTGCAGGAAGAATAGGGAAATAGATATCAAATATCTAGGGATATAGATATAGCTTAGCAACATTTTCCAGCATTTGTTTTTTTTTTTTTTTTTAAAACTCTGATTTGGAATAGGAAAAAACTGACAGTGAATAAAAAACTTCCACAGAACAAGGACACTACTCCTGGCCTTGCTCGAGATTGGAGCTTCCAAACCTGCAAAAGCTTCCTCCTGTGTCCTACATGACTGAGCCCCTGATTTAGAAGAACAATTACAGAGCTTCCCCTTTAGCTTCAGAGCAGACTCCATAATGTCCTGCTTTCTTGCTTTGGAGTTATTTCTTTGGAAAGACCAGGGCTTGGGAGACAGGGAACTGAGCCTACTGTGAAAGCAGAAAATATTCCTTCCTCTTTCTTCCCCTCAGTCTTTGAGAGGGGATTCTTCCTTTTCTTGTGACATGTTTGAGGAAATGGGCTTTTCTCTGGTGTCCTGCATATGCCCCTTGGGAAGGACAGCTGGACTGGTGCTTCCAAGCTCCTGAACTTCCAATGCCCAGGTCCCATTAAGGAACAGGGAGACTTAGGCACTTGACTCCTTTCAGCCCTTGGAAAGCTTTAGGCCTTGAGTGACTACGCAGCTGATGGGACATAAAAGCATGGGCTCTTTAGTTCACCATCAAACCCTGATGTTGGGCAAGTGCTAAATCCTCTCCAGGTCAGTTTGGGGTTGGATGGAGCCCCTGGACAATTCAACCTATTTAAAAGTCAGGCCAGTTACTGGGCAGGAGTTAATGTGGATTTTGGAGTAGCATGTGTTGGCCTGTGGCTTTGAAAGTCCTAACCAAGGTGATCCAAGTTGCTTCCTCCTTTGCTAGTTGGGCACTTTTAGGGATACAGCAAAAGGGCAGCAGGGCTCAGTGCACAGCTGGGAACTGTCACAGGAATTGTGTCCTTATCCCCAGTACTGAATGACAGTAGAGGAGAGGAGGGCTGTAGCGACAGGGCAGGGGCAGGCCTCCCACAAAGGGAGAGAGCACACCACTGTCCTTCTGAGGGTTTCACTGGAATATGTTAGTTTGTATAAACTGATCTTTTACTTTTTCTTGAATGGGGGTAGAGATTACCTAGCATACGTAAACTGTTATCTTCTAACCATGATGTATAAATGTAAAATGCAGCTGCCTATTTCCATGCTTGTATAAAGTTCCATTGTTGTATAAAAAAGAATTTTAAAAAAAGTTTGTTAGGCTGGTTGTTTTGTACAATACTAATTCCTACTGTAGTCCCTTTTCAAAGTAATTGGTTTCAAACTAAGCCCAGTTTCTATCAACAGGTTTATTGCTAGAGATTATTTGCATTAATAATGTTTGGATTTATGAGCTACCAAGAAAGTTGGTTTTACCTTCTCATTATCCCAGGAGCTTAATCATCCATCAAAATGTCATGGTATCTTTCCTTGTTTTCTGATGGGGTGATGGCCTTTCATGCAAGATCAGTTATTTGACCAAAAAGAAACTGGTGCTGAGAGCTGTCAAACATTCAGGGATCAGTTTTGGAACAACGAGTTTGAACATTCACGGAGAGGACAACATCCCCTCTCCTTCAGACAGCTGTAATGAAGGACTTGGAAAGGTATAAAACATAATAGGTTCTCCTTCCAAATTAGAAATACAATCCTAATACATTAAGTACATCACTATTACATTGAGCTGGTCACTTAGTTGCAAAAACTTTCTAAAGTTAGGTATATAATCATTCCTTTTATATATAATTGGGCATTGCATTCATTGTTTAGAAAAATCCTCTACAGTATGTTTATGCCCAGCATTTTAATGAATATCCTTCTCTGTGTATTAATAGACTACACATTCATGTTTATGTTTGATATCTATTTCCCCAAAATGTTAGTTTATAGAGCTAAATTAATTACCTTTTTGGTGAAAGAAGTCCTCTCAGTTTGTGTAGGATTTATTGCTTGCTAGAGAACGATACGAGGATATGTGTTAATCTCAGACTAAGCACTCAGTAAAATTCAACTAGGTGGGAATTGAGTTTTCCATTCTGCAGAACATTCCATGATTTTAAAATGTTTTCCATTTGTGACTGACCTCAGGCAAAAGCATAATCCTGAAAGGCAACAGAGCAGCTGAGTGAAAGAAGGCCAGAACTACTACTTAGGAGAACACCACATCTTCCTGAGCAGACATTTCCTGAGCCTTTTCTCATGCAGTGTCCACCCAGATTTAATAATTTCAGAGCATATTATTGGAGGAAGAAAAACACTATGCTTCCTTTTCAATGAACCACACATCTTCAACTACCAAAGCAACTGGAAATATTACAGAGAAGAAAATGTCATTGAGTACAATGTGCTTTAATGGGAGAATGCAAGATATTCTGGGTTTAGTGCCTTTTAATAGGAAATACTAAATTCATGACTGTCCTAACTCCCTCTGGCTTCAGCAGAACAGCAACAGAGCTGAATGTGGCCCACTGTTCTCTAACATGACAGAAGCTCCCATGAAGACTCTTAGTATCGTATTCAGCAGCACTTAAGAGTCTGCAGAGTCATGTTATTTTGGTTACTCCTGTTGTAATTGGCAAATCATAGCCTAGTGCTGAAACTTTAACAAATACAGCTCTATTAGCTTCACACCAATTTAGTGTCAGGTTGTTAAATGTTAATATACTACATCCTATAGCTTTAAATAGGCTTAGAGATGCTTACAGCTTTGGTTAGATGCACCTTGTTCCTCCACATTAAATTTTATTACCAGAATCCTCCATCAGCAAATAGGAGTAAACCACATTAGTGTTGTGAGCTGCGTGGGGGTTGATTCTGCTGCCCAAGGAAGGGGTATTTTATTACTCTTTATTACAACTTTCTAATTGATAGGTGTGGTTGGAATGCCATTATCTCTGTACTCACAAACAAATTATTTGTTTTAGAATAATTGTAACATAATCGTGAGGTTCTCTTCATTAAGAAGTTCAAACAACTTGTGTTCTTAGCCAGGGTTTGGCCAAGTTCTGGCACAGCAGGACTCAGACCAGATGGGGTCTCATTTGATGTATGATTTGTATGTCAAATTCTGCTTTCTTGAGAATTTCTCTGAAACTTCTCCAGTGAGTGACATCATAACAATCGTTCTCCCATGTTTCTTGCACTAATCTGAAGTATACTCACTTGGTGTGTTTTGTTCCACACCTGGTACAGCTCCATTTTATCAGCTTGGTTGGGAGCTAGAGTGATGACTGCATGTCAATAGAAGACTCGGAGTTTGTGTTATTCCTCTCAGAAAAAGGGATTCTGAGATGTTAGCTAGTCCATCACCCCATCTCAAGGTTGGACTGACTCAGCCTGACTTAACATGCCTCAACCTGGCAGAGATTGGCGTAATCTGTTCTTAAAAACATGCAGTAATAGGTTTCCGTGCTCTCCCCATGATCTATTTCCACAGCCTGCATTATTCAAAAAGTCAAAGACATTTCCTTTTCTTCTTAACAGACTTTTCCGTATTTGAAAACTGTTAAATCTAGTGAGGGGAAGGCTCAAGAGAGAATTAACCTCCATTCTGTCAGTCTTTCCTCTTGTAAAGATCAAATGATTCCTGAAAATACTTCCTTGGGAAAGATTTACCAGTTAATCCAGAGATTAGTTAATCCCTACATACGGGACCATGGGAATTCGGAGAATGGGAAGGCTGGTAGATGGTTTCCCAGATCCCATTTGGAGCCCAGTCCACAAGAGAAAAAGCCTGATGAAACACCTGCACAAAATATGCTATGGCCCCAACTTCTAGCTCTCAAATATCTCCTCCCTGTCTGCCCCATCTCTGTCAGCCAACCTGGCAGCTGTTGTATATTCCAATATTTCTACTCAGCAGCTAAATACTGAAGCAATGGGCTCCAACAACTGCATAGCAATAGATTGGCCAAGAATCCTATCTGTCCTGCCACCATATTTTGTTAAGTCCCTCCTGTTCATCACCAGCATTGCTGGGGTGTTTGAACCCCTAAGAAACTTTTCAGGCTTTGACCGCCTCAGTCAGATACGCTCTGGAAGCCATTGTCAAATTTTCAGCTTAGCGCTGGTCAGGCTTTCCTTTTAATATATAACACAATCAGTCACTACAACCGCAGTTCTCCCTGCTGGGCAGAACCTGGGACTCTCCTGTTCTTAACAACAGGGAAGTAGGCAACTGCGCAGACAGAGTATCTAGGCAAGCTCACATGGTTTCTACTCCTGGCTAGGGAAAAGCTTTGGTAAAGTTACTTCATACCTCTCAGTGCTTGTTCCTTGTGCCCTTCTTGAACACAAGCAGTTAAGTGAAACTTGGACCCTCCCTCTTGGATTTCAGTTGTTAAAACAAGTTAAAATCCTATCTATCTTGCCTACAGCAACATCTTACCATAAGTAAGGGAATGAGATCTAAGAACCCAGCAACGCTTTACAGCTCTGTACACTGAGGACCCTGCAGGACAGGACCACCTTTGGGGGCTTTTGCCTTCCTATTCTGGGCTGGCATGGTCTTGGGTACAATTCCGAGCAAGTACACTAGGTACCTACAGTATCACATAACAGCCTCTACATCTTCCCTTGAGAAATTAGTCATTGATGCTTTTGAGTTATCCTCAGGAAAGAGGAGGCCTGCAGTAACTTCTCTGGCTGCTAACAGGTCTCTCCTGATACCAGCGGGAAGACACAGCACAGAACAGGGCATCGCACAAATATACAGGGCAAACAAATATGGGAATTGGCAATGGTTGTTATATTCAGACAAGGCAACTGGATATGCATCCTCTCCATGCCATACAAGCAGACAATGATGCTGCTGGATGCTGCTCAGCAGTTCTACACCACTTCCCCCAGCTCCAGTTCTTCCTGCTATGAATAGAAACTAGAAGGAATATTGTACAGCACCATCTGTGAAGGGAGTTTTTACCCAGTCAGCTAAGCAGCTTTACAACCCTTATCCACCACACTGGTCCTGGGAGAGAGAGGCAACTACAGAATCCTAGACTAACTCCTTGGATCAGAGACAATCAACAGGGTTGATAGCCAATCATGCTTACCCTGTATGGCACCTTTATGGCATGAATGGTCTTGTCTTTGCAATGGGGCTCTGCTCTTACTGGAACATGTCCTTCAAATCCCTCACACAGATATAGCTACACTCACCTCAACCTCCACTTCTTCCTTGCTTACTCTCTTAGAGCAGTCAGAGAACAGAAGGACTCTATCCTGTCAGGGAAGTAACTCAAAAGCCAGAATGAATAAATCAGTGTGCACATGACAACGGCAAATAGCAAAGGCCACTTCTATGTATCACTATAAAAAATAACATTAATTGGGATGCTTTGCAATTTCCTGTACAACCCATAATTAGGTTAGATAAGAAACTAGCAGTGTCTAAGTGCTATAAATGTCTAAATTAAGTTATTTTCAAAGTGCCCGGCACTTTGACATTTGAGAGTTCAGAGTAATTGGGGGTATTGAAATAAAATTGCTTCTGTTATTTAAAAGGTCATTATCTTCTTCGGGTAGATATATGAGGACTATTTTCCACTCCACTGAGCCATTCTATTTGGTACAATTAGAGCTGCTTGAGTAAATTTCTAGCGGGCCTCCTCCCACTTATCACAGTCCCAGCACTGCCTCAGGGAAGGGCCTGCAAATATACAGCCCAAATATGGAGTATATATTCTGCTCATAATCGGGCACTGGAGATCTGAGAGCTACTCAGAGCTTCAATCAGACACCCACAATAAACACCACATTGCTACAACCAGCAAGGCTAAAACTTAGTCCTTAAACCATTCAGGTCAACAAATACCAGGTTACGGGCACAGGCCAGTGTGCTAGGCAGACAAACAATGCTGACAAAGGCTTTGAAGCAAATAAGGATTTCACCTTCCCAGCTAAATTGCCCACAGCCTGGGCAGCAACTCTAGTTATTTCAATAGCAGCACTGAAATCCCTTGAAACATGACACAGGCTCAATGTCACAACAGAGACATGACTGTTGTTTACTTACCAGATCTGCTGCTGTGTGAGTGTGATACTCAAACCAGGCTTCAATAACTACATCTTCACTGCATTTTATTTCAGTCCTTCAGTGCTAGTAAAATAAGGGGGAGTATAAAGACCTAGAAACTGGCTGAGGAGAATTAACTCATTACCATCCCTCCACTGGAGACTGCCATGTCCAGGAGACCCTGGGGAACAGACCATGCACAAGGGGCCAAGGATTACTGTCCCTATTCATTCCACAGAATCACAGAACGGCTAACGTTGGAAAGGACCTCTGGAGATCATCTAGTCCAACCTCCCTGCTCAAGCAGGGTCCTCTAGAGCGTATTTCCCAGGATTGCGTCCAGACGGGATTTGAAGCGTCTCCAGGGAAGGAGACTCCACAGCCTCTCTGGGCAACCTGTTCCAGAGCTCTGTCACCCTCCCAGGAAAGGAAATTTTTCCTCACGTTCAGATGGAACTTCCCGTGTTTCAGTTTGTGCCTGTTGCCTCTTGTCCTGTCACTGGACAAGACTGTTCTCACCACGGAGAAGAGACTGGCCCCATCCTCTCGACAGCCCCCCTCCAGATGCTTGTACACACTGATGAGATTCCCCCCTCAGTCTTCTCTTCTCCAGGCTAAACAGGCCCAGCTCTCGCAGCCTTTCTTCATAGGAAGAGATGCTCCAGTCCCTTCAATCATCTTTGGAGCCCTCTGCTGGGCTCTCTCCAGGAGTGCCATGTCTCTCTTGTCCTGGGGAGCCCAGAACCGGACACAGTACTCCAGGGGAGGCCTCACCAGGGCTGAGGAGAAGGGCAGGATCACCTCCCTCCACCTGCTGGCAACACTCTGCCTAATGCACCCCAGGATCCCATTGGCCTTCTTGGCCACAAGGGCACGTTGCTGCCTCATGCTTCACTTGTTGTCCACCAGGACTCCCAGGTCCTTCTCTGCAGAGCTGCTTTCCAGCAGGTCAACCCCCAGCCTGTCCTGGTGCAGGGGGTTCTTCCTCCCTGGGTGCAGGACCCTGCACTTGCCTTTGTGGAACTTCGGGAGGTTCTTCTCCGCCCACCTCTCCAGCCTGTCCAGGTCCCTCTAGAATGGCAGCGCAGTCTTCTGGTGTGTCAGCCACTCCTCCCAGTTTTTTATCATCAGCAAACTTGCTGAGGGTGCACTCCGTCCCTTCATCCAGGTCACTGATGAATACGTTGAACAAGACTGGACCCAGTACCGACCCCACAGTAGGCCCCCTACAGGCCTCCAACCAAAGACTCTGTGCCATTGATCACAACCCTTAGTGGCTTTTTGTGGTGAACAAAGACAGGAAGCAACTGTAAGCTTCATTATAGGACTATTTTTAGCTGTTACACTTGTTGCTGCTGTTGCAATCATCTGTGCATGCCCTGAGAACGTGTCTTCCTGCTTGAGCATCAGCAAGACTGGTCCAAACAGTCCTTAGAGCCACCAGCAGGTGGGCGTAGGAAAAAGAAATAGCCCAGTCTGGCCTCTGGTGTCCAGGATGAGTTTGCTGGGCAAGCACCTGATAAAAGGAAAGCTTTTTGCTGCAATCTGAATACAAATCAGACAAAAGCCAAGGCAACTGCAATGCCCTTTTTCAGAGTCACTATTCCATGCTAAATGATGCCTCGCTACAGTAGTGGTAGAGAACGCATCCATTTGCCCCTCAGAGTATCTGAGAGAGAACACATGTCGACAGCCCAGACAGGACTGTTCTGAGCTGAACACTCCTGACTAACAAAACCCATGAAAATTTTCCTGCACTAATCCTAACACTTCCAGTGAACCAGAGCACCTTCCAGAAAGGCCCATATCTGAACTCAGAAATGCCAAAGATAGAGATCCCAGTTGGCTCTGTATAAACCACTGGAAGGATTGCTTATCCACCCTGCCAGAGAGCTCTGCTTTATTTCCAGGTGGAGTTTGTCTAGCTTCTCTTCTGCTTTACATCTGAAAGACTAAATCCTTTAGTACCAGGGTGTTTGCAATAGCCAAGTTATTTGTATTGGCAGGTACTCCTGACTCCTCGCAAAACGCTGGAAAATCTCAGCCCTGCCCCCTGGCAAGGTGTGATATATCAGTACTGTCCTCACTGATATGGCTATGGTTCAGGGATGGCCTACGCTAACATTGCCAAGTTGGACATAGCTGTGGTCTGATGTTTGTCCAGGGCTCTCAGGGCTTTGGTGCGTCAGCACGGACAGGGATAGCAGAACCATATCTGGAAGGCATATACGTGGTGCTTATACCAAAAGGTTTTGGTGAGCTTTCCCATCATCGGAGCTGAAATGCAGAAGCTTCCCAGCAGTGCAAACTCCTGCCTCCCTAGGATGACTGGGTTGGATCTGTTTTTTCAGCCTTCCTTAGCAAGCCAGCTGAATCCCCCAATAGCTGTTTTGAAAGGGCCTTTGCAGAAAGCCCCAAATTCTCCTCCCTGCTTGTGGGCAAAGGAGATTTGTACACAGGGGGACAGGAGAGGTTAGCTGACCCTACAACTTTCCCTCTCCACCAAATAGTATTGCCTGTGCCCTAAGGAGCAGGAGAGGGCTGAACTCCAGGTATGGGGGAGAGAGAAGCCATTTTCTACTGCATCAGTCTTCTCCCAGCCCTTTCACAGAGAGGATACTAGACATGGCAACTCCCAGCAGCTTAATGCACATGCTCCACCACAGCATCTGAGCATCCTACCAAAACTGAAGTAGCTATGGCAGCATTACTCTTCCTTGTCCCTCCCGCCCTGGGGACAGCTGTATGAGGAAGAAGTGCAGTCCTCAGAGCCTCCTTCCCAAATAAACAAAACAAGGTGACAACTTCTGACCTGGAACAGGGACAGTTCTCAAGCCTCTGTTGCAGTCATCCACACAGAGATAGCTTCTCTCCCACTGTACACAAGTAAGAGGTCACAACGTTCTCCTCGCAGCAGACTCATCTGGCATCCTCAGCTCCACCCATCCAGCCAGCACACAGCTCACCCTTGGCCCCTTGGATGACTGCTCTGCACTAACAATCCTCCACATGCAGAGGGCCAGCGCTATGCTTAGGTATGAAACATACTGAGTGACCACTGAACACAGGCCCAGCTTTCCCCATCACAAGGCCCACGCTTGCTCAGTGCTCACTGCAGCAAGTATTACCCATAGTCCCCAAGATCCTGATGTACTGCTGAAGCCTGTCTGGTTCCATAGTATTTAACTCTGGTGTAGGGTATGAGGAGGTTCCTTTTTAAGAACTTCATGCAGCAAATTTCTAGGAGAATCCTGAAGCTTGGGAAGAGCTCTGATGACCTGTCATTTAAGGCAAAAAGCACAGGGAAAGTTGTCAGTCCTTCATCAGCCCTGTCCCCTTTCGCATCTCCCCATCAGCCTGACTGACTTCAATGACAGTAATTATGGCGTGCGCACGCCTGAAGACTGACAGTGATAATACAACAATTAGTGTGAGCGCTATGTGATGTGTGTTTGAGTGTATGCAAAAAAAATCACACCAGCTATTTGGCTCAGAGTTGCTTTCAGGTGCACAAGAGAGCTGTGGCAGCCCTGTCTCCCAAGGGCACTGAGCAACAGCCATCGTTGCTACAGGTGCCACCCACCATCCAACACTTGTAACCTCAGCACTGGCATCCATCCACCACCACTTAGCATCCAGCTCATTGGGCTAGGAGTCTCAGACAGGCTAAAAAAATGCCTGAGACTGGATATAAGGTTCCAGACTTTCCTAGTTCATTGCTTTCCAAAAGGAATGAGCTTGTATAAGCAACTGACCCAAAAGGTAAAGAGTATCTTGCAGGATGAGGGAGACGATCAGGACTTTGTAGCACTGTCCACTTCTCCCCCACCATGCCCTGGATGATCTTTCGGCTGCAAGTCTCCTCTAGTCCTTCCTGCTGCCAGATAGCTCCAAGAGTTTGGGATTAGAATGACACTACCTATTTCTCTGAGGTCCTCAAGGTCCCTGTGGTTCACCAGTTTCTCAAGTCCCCTCCTAAGAGCCTAAATAGCAAAGTCAGTTTGTGAAGAGCAGATTGTATCAACACTCCTGAAAACCTGGCTCCTCCTGGGACTAACTACTACGTAAGAGGAGACAAGACGGCCAGGATCAGGTCCAGAGCTTTCCTGGGCTTCTTTTTGAACTCTCTTGGGACGTCCCTCTCCAGAGATGAGGGAAAGATGGGCTGCACTTTCAGGCAGAACAGAGCACATCTCTGCTAATGGTTTTAGCTGACAAGGCCTTCAGATACTTCCCTCGTGACAGCAATATGAAATCCTGAATGAGATGATCTGGTTACCAACTCTCTCTTGTAACAAGCTTTGAGATCCACGTACTTCAAAGTACTTGGGAGCAGCCATACCGACAATCAGGGGAATTCTCCTCTGGGAATTACAGATCTGTTTGCATGGATTTTTCAAAGAAGGCTAGAGCAAATTTTTTTTTAATGAGGATACAAAGGCCCTGCAGTACACAGGCAGCCCTGCAAATATTGCTTCACTAGCCTTTATTAGCCAATAGAAAACTACAGAAATCAGACAGTATTTAATGCTCACTGTAACATTTATAAGACTCCTATTGCCGAACAAGAAAGCAAGATGGTCTGTGCAATAACCAAATAAGTGTGATTAAGGCATTTTAGGGTTTATGGTCCCTGATTAGATTAAACTGATATTTAAAGCCACATAAAGGTTGTGCTGTTCCGTATTTCTCTTCTTAGTTCCCTATAGGGCAGAGTTAAGATTGTGTCTTAATTCTGCATTTTTTTTCCTAATGAGATTGAATTTCTTTTAAGGATAATTCTCACCCTGAGCTACTTACCCCTTGCAAAAGTTGTTTCTGAGATAATTACAACACTGATGATGTTTTTACTGAGCCACTTACTTTCGGTGCAACTCCATCTTTACTGTATTGCTGTGGAATTGCTCTGCTTGCTTGATTTTTGAGCATATTCTAGATGTACCATCTCTATGTTCCACGTGGCCACTAGATAATCAGTATTACATCAGGACGCTCACTGAGCAGGTACCATTACTGCTCCTGAGGGCTGGCAGCCAGCTAGCTCCAGGCCGTCTATGCCTCAGCAAAAGCTGCCTCCACATCTTGAGTTGATAGAATTTCACCGACATTCGTCCTTTACCAAATACGCAAGAGCCCGGCACAAATATAAAAGTAGGTGCTGGCAAGAACTTGCTGCTGCTATCTGTTCAACTGTATTTTAGAAACCTCTCGCAATTACTTCACACCACAGGGACTTGCCTGCAACATGATGATGAGGTGCATTCTATCACCATCCCCCAGGATCTCTGCTCTCCACTGCACCAGATCACAGCTATTAGCTATCACACACACTGGCTACAGCTGGCCTGCGAAATCTGGTAACTGTGACATGCTTACATTTGTGCCTTAATTCTGCCAAGCAAGGAGTGGTGCTTTCAGTACTCACAGTATGTGCTTCTTCCCATAACTTATGACTCAGGGCAAAATCTGGAGCTAAACAGGAGAGAAGAAACTGAGAATTCCTCCATACACTGGAAGACTCCAACAACCTTGAGAGATTATGGTCCCGACCCAGTGCTCTAGAATTCACAGCTTTTCAGCAAAGACCAAAACTCTGTAGGGTAGAGCAGCACAGCAGAACTTGCCCAGGTGCTACATAGATGGCAGTCTCAAAAAGGACTTGTCACTAACCAAAGGTTGGATTCTATTTTCCTTCATACTCGAGGCCACAGTTACATCTGCTGGGTCCACTGGGGTCAGTCAAAGTGGATGGACTCCAAACAGGCCTCTGCCAACTATTATCAGGCTGTGCAATCTGTAAGTGCTATTTGCAATCTTTATGCTTGCAGAAACGAGTGACTCTTCAAACAGGGGAAGGTTTGGGACAGAATCAGAATGGGGGCTGGTGCAGATAGATGATCCCAGCACTGCCCCACACAGCAGTTCACATAATGGGTGGAGAGGGGCTCCTCTGAATGTGAGGAGCAATGCGGTCAATGCCTACTGCACCTGCCTAAAACTATCCATATCCTCATCGAGTAAAGAGGTTGAGAATACATAGCGCTGTTAGCAATTCACATCATAATGATAGTATCACTTTTTTGTTACCAGCATTAACACGCCAGTTCTCAGCACGCTCGTCTCAGAGTTATCTAGCTTCCTCTGGACAGAGCATTGTTGTACAACCAATCACTCCTAATTAGATTTTTCCCCAAGAGGAAATTTCAATTCATTTCTATCTTCTTTTTTTTATATTCTCCCAAATTACAGCTCCTTGAACAAAAGGACAAGCTTGACTCAGGAAAACTTTTAATTCTTAACCTACCAACTTTCATTCATGCATGCACACTCTGGATGTGTTCTGTGCTCCAAAACAACAGTTGGTGCCTCCTATTCCTCCTGAATACGCAAGACACCTGAGGCTGGGTATGATGTGATGAACCTGTCAAATCCATGCACGGCTAGTGTGCAATTACAAGTGGCCTGCTCTTATGTCAAGCAAAGTCAGGCTGATGTCCAGAGCACTGGAGCGGTTAGTCTTGATGCACAGGCTGCAGAGTGGGTGTTGGCTTTAGGAAAGGGAAGATCTGCTATTGACAAAGACAGACTGCATGAAAAGGCTAAAGGAGCAGGTATAGTTAACAAGCTATCAAGAAGCCTCTAGGTAAATGAATATACAGGTAGTCAGCTTCTCCCATAGCTCTGATCACCTTTATGATGCTTTTGCAAAACTGTATTCACAACTGATTATATAGTCACAGTCCAGGTCCTGCTGTCCATGTAGCAAAATCACAGCTTGTTTTTAAGGAATATGGGGAGAAGGAAGAGGAAAGAAGGAATTTAATTAATTTGGTAAAATTCTAGGACAATTGACCTTTCTCAAGCGTCACTTCTTAAGAAAAGGAAAGATGGGCATGGTCACCTCTCTACCATAAGGTTACTTTGACTGCAAAAAAATGGTCTGTTTGGTCTATTTTTAGTGAATGTTTCCCTGAGCACAGGGAAGGATGACATTTAAGTCGTCAAGTCATACACTCAGAGGTTAGGAAGGAAAACCAGCTAGGTCTTCTGTGTAGACATAATGCAACCTCCTTGTACGCCTGTATCATAAGATTCTAGTCACTACATTTTCCACAGGCAATTACCTCATTCACTGTGGTGGTTAGACAAGAGCTTGAGGAGGGCCATGGCTCAGCACTCTGTAAAGAAGGAAGCTGTTTGCCATAGAAAGTCTTGCTCGTTCAGCAACATAATTCAAAAGAAGAGTCATGAACAAAGCAGGGCCCTCCAGGAAGAAGAAAGTTGATGGTGCAATTAGAGGAAGACCAGTAATCCCCTCTGCATTCTATTCTTGATCCTTCCTAGTGATGCTGGCAAGTATCTTTCTCTGAGGCTTTGGCATGAGCAGTTCTTTGTGTTCCTCAATCTCTGGTTGCCCACAGCACACCAAACCACTCTTGCAGTGTTAAGCACTCCCAGTCCAGTGGAAATCAGGGAATTCTTGTGGCTCTCGCTGCCTGGGGGTGTGTTCAGTGGTATGAACACATGGTCCTTTGTGACCACGATGTTCTTTGCGTTCCCCTAGGCTCTGCCCTGATGTAATCCATGGTGTTCGGGAAGCCACTGTGCCTAAGTGGCTTCTCAGACCTTCTGTTTGTAAGATAAGGTGCTTTATTTCCTTACCAGATCAAGGGAGGAGTTAAGTTATCATCAACACAGTTTCTTCAAATTCTTAGAAAATGTAAAGGAGCTTGATTTTTCACATCAGCTGCATCTCAGTCGGGGACCCAAAGGGCACACAACTTTGTTGGACTACGGTCTCAGCTTTCGTATACTTCAGACCCCCACTTTTACCATGCAGGGTAATTGTGAAGGTAAAGCCTGAAGCACATGCGATATGCTGATATTCCAGAGAGCATCAGTGCAAGGCTAGAAAAGAAGGCAGTGTAAGAGGAGAATTAAAGACGACATTTACCAGCTGTGCCAGATCCTCATCCTCACCCCTTCCACGCATCTTGCCTGCCTTGCTCACCGTGAAAAATCAAGTCAGAGATTAGGTAACCTAAGACTGCGTGGTAACAGATGTTCACAGTGCAGCTGGATGAAGGCACCACCATCAACCTGCAATCGAGTACCTCCTACCCTCCCTTTCTGATCTCAGTAACTTTTTTGAAGGAATGTATACATTTTTCATGCAATATCCCAGGTTCAGGGAAGGAGGAGTGGCAAGAGCAAAGATACTAACATCCTTGGGTGTTGGCAAGAACAAAAATACTGCAACAAATGCACTTTACATCAGCTTGAAGCCTCAGTATTTTCTGATCTCTCAAACTAGAATATGTTAAACTTAATAAGCTATGCTGCTCCTTGGCATCATCAAGACAGTTTTATTTGCTAGCTTGAACTGCGATGTCAAATATAGCATATTATGCCAAATTCAGTATTTAAAATAATCTTTAAAATATAAAAGTTCTCTCAGGACAAATACTGCAAATTCTTATAGCATATGTGCATTGCATTGTCTGTCAGTATCTTTCCCATAACTTTGGAGTCCATTTTCTGATTTCAGCCAGATCTGACTGCAGAGTCAGTCCAACAATTCCTTTGAGATTCATTTCCCCCCATAAGCTTCCTGGTTCCTCTGAATCTTGTGTGCTCTGAAGGGCAATTTTCTCTCCATCCAAAAGGCTGAGAACAAGAGTTCCTGATTATTTCTTCCTACTCATCCACAGACCAACAGCAGATTCTTCCCCAGTCATCACCAACTAGGAGCTTGGAGGAATTTCTTGAGAAAGAAAGGTAGAAAAGAAAAAGAAGAGAACAATGTTTAAGAAAAAGATGTAAATATGATCAAGGCTTTCTCTTGCCTGTGCAACAATTAGGATGATGCTACAACCAAGGCAGCAGGTTATCTTTAGTTTTAAGTCTGAGGAAGAATGATGTCAACTAGACAAAGATTCATACTGCAAAATCCGAACTTGGAATCAGATCCAAACTTCCCCAGAGTTCAATGCGTCAGCTTTGGACAACCTAGCCAGATCTGGAGCTCTAACCTTTCACTGACACTGACCATCTACCAGAGTTAATTAAATCTGCTTGCCAGACTCAGAATTTAGACTTGTTGACTTTGGCTTCAGACACCAAAATCTCTGCTGCCTGCAGTGCCATCAACACAGTGAAACTAAACCCCTCAAACTTTCGCACTTTCCAGGCATATAAGCATCACACCCTGTAAGCGCTCTAACTCTGAGCATCCAGAACATGGGAACCATTTTAGTGACTATCAAAACACCAGCACTTCTGAAAAGTAAGACAGCAGCTGTTTAATAGCACAGCGTCCTGGGGTAGAAGATGAAGACAACTACTACAGCCAGAAGAAACTGCCGGAGTGGGATTTAGTAAACTAAAATGTTGCTGGCTGTGCAAACTGAATACAATTTAACAACAAAGTCCTCTTCTGGCCAAAAACATCTTGTTTACATTTCATTAAGGAGCTGGCATCTCCAGCAACTCCTAGGGTAGTGGTTTTACTATGATGTAGAAACAGGGTAGTAGCTACTTACTCATTTCTGCAACTATTCTGCTCAAAAGCTGTTATTTCTCTTTCAGTGTCCCCTATCCAAGTGCTGACCATCCCCAAACCCTTCACTTAATATAGTTGGCCAGGCCAGCTTCCAGAGCGGCTACATTTGGCCAAGACATAGCCGTTGTACTGAGATTTTAAGAAACAATAGAAATATAAACTTCATAAGATAAATTAATCTGATGATTTAGAACAGACCCGTGGAAACACTGAGGCTGATTTGGTGCCCTCTGCTGGACAAACGCTGCAATGCAAAGGAAAGGACAGTACCTGGATACAGCAAGTGCTGTCACTGCTGGGCTGTTCTTACTTGGTTTTCCAGTCAAGGCAAGGCTGGGATTCAGTTCCCGACAGAGAACAAGATGTTTTCCACACTTGTTACCTGTTGGGTGGTTTAAAAATAAATATTTAGAAAGTGTCTGGGGGCAGCATGGAAGGGATTGTTATTATTTACGGTCAGCAAGTTGTTAAGTTGAGAACAAATATATTTAATCTCAGCCTGTGCTGTTGCAAAATAGGCCCACCCCAATTTAATTTGTGGCTATGATAGTTACATGTGCTGACGTGCGGCTGTATCAATTGTGCGCTAAATTGGATTTGTGTATTATTGCTTTCTAAATTGCATGCCTAGTTCAGCAAAATTGTTCATCAGTTTTCACTGGCTCTATGCTTAATAAGATGCCCCACAATACCTTGCTGCCAGGATATAATACAGCCCATAATTGCCTAGTAAAAAGAAATTACATAAAGCCCTGGTATTATCAACTTATCTAAATCTGCTCATAACAGAACGAATAATTAAATGCTGAGAACATTTCACACACACACAAACGTGCACACACACACACACACACATCCCCCCTCAACAACATAACTCAATCATAGTTACTTCAGTCTTTTTAATGTTTGTGTTTTGTATTAATTTTATTTTCTTTAACGTATAGAATGAGCCGTGGGAATATTTGGCCATTTAAAATAATTCTGAAGCCATCCGAGTAGTTTAGGAAAGCACATCACTGCTCTGATTACACTTCTCTTCTCTTTAAGAAGAAATGGTGTTGCCTTGTATGTGTCTGTGAGAACATGCATCCTTATGCTCCTGTGCAAGAACAGATGTGTGTGTTTGTATACATCAATGGATACCTGGTCAATACATGTCTTCCTTCATGATCTTCTCTGAAAAAAGTACAAATAGGAGTTTTACTCTGCTGTGCTCCCATGGCCAGTTTTTAAGTCCTAGTTTGGGAAACCATTTAGGAAGACTTAATTTTTAAAAACAGCTAAAATCTCAGTTTGCTCAAAAACATTGCTACACAATTACACTTAAGTAGTTAGCACATGGAAATCTTTGCCACAGGAAGCTGTTAAGGACAGAAATTCAGGAAAACTCTTAAACAAATTGGACATTTGTATATGTAAAAAGAATCTGCAAAATGACTACACCATGCTACATGATTTTTGGAAGGAATGTCCAACCTTGGGCTTAGAGCAATCTCGGATTAAGAGACCAGAATGAAGCTAACAAGTAGTTACCACTGTAGATTGTCTCACATCTGGCACCTGTGATACTCTTGCACCTTCGCTAGAAGCAGCTGGCTCTACGACAGAGAGCAGGATGGGCATCTGGTTTGGCATTTCCAATATGCCTCCGTACATATAAATATTTTCACATAACGATCTAAGCAATGTAGATGCCAAGTTCAATGAACAGCACTTCTGAAGATCTCACTGGTAATGCCCAATTATTGTATAATATCTTTGTATGCAGATGTTACATCTATAGCTCTATCTTTATGCAAATTGTGTGCTTAAAATTGAAGCAATAGAGAATGTGTGTAATGAGGATTACAGCAAATAAGTGGTATAAATTATACATACTAACAACATAATTCCTTTCTTTTATAAAATGTGCTGCGAACAGAAACAAGCTGTGCTATTAGGACGTGCCTTTAAAACTCCCTGGCAGGTTTCAGCTGCTTATTTGTTAGATCAGAGAACTGAGTTCAAGTTGCTTTTATTACCAGTCAGCACCATAGCCCCATTATCTTGTCAGCCTCAGCTCTGCAAGAACTCCAGGACATCAGCTTCAGCTCTGCACAGCTTCCAATAAACAACTCCATGCACCAGGGCCTGCTGCTGCCCTCCCACCACTATGGAAGGCCTCCAATCTCATTCAAGGTGGCGAAGACGACAAAATTCCCTGTCCCAGCCCAGGGTAGGATTTGGCACTGCTCAGGCCAAGACACTTTATTACCAGCCACCAGCAGAGGTGCTAAGGGAAAAGCTTTCTGGAGCCAGGATAGTTCATTTGTTTCATACGTTTACGCAGCAGGGTGATCTATCAAGCTTGACAGAGCCTATGAAGAAGCTTTCAGCTTCATCCAGGCAGGATGTGCCCCAAGGACTGGTGGCTCAAGCTGCTCCTTGTCTCCAAGGTAGAGCAGTGGCTACCCTGTTACTCCAGCTGTTATAGTAACACTGTACCAGTCACGCTGCACCATCTCCCCTTCATATCACTGTGCTCACACACATTCTGCTGCCTCACAAAAGAACAAGCTCTGCGCCACATAGCCACACTTCGGTTCATTGCCAACTCAGTGGTCCTACCTGTGCTGCCTGGTGTTTCCATCGTGCCTCTCTGTGCTTTCAGTCCAGCAGCTTGGCCTAGAGCATTGGTGTATTGAGTCTTCCATAGCTGTGCCAGCAAGGAGGCAAAAAGGTAAAAAGTACGGATTATAACAACGCAGCATGAGAGAGACCTGGCTGCCTGTTTCCCAAAAAGGGTTGGAAATTGGACATTGCATTATCAGAGCAGGACCTGGCAGTTTTGCTCCCTGCGCCGCTGTGCCGCAAGGTGTCACACTGGAGACCTGTATGCAAGGAGCCGGAGGGGTCTCAGGCTGACAAAGCGGTGATGTGCTAACCAGGAGCTCAGCAAGCTCTCCTGCCAGACTGAGGGCAGAGCCAGGAGTGAATTCCTGCTCCTGAGAAAGTACGGCTTAATAAACTGAGTTATGAACTCAGAAACCATGAATTCTGCTGAGTTTTGCTACCAATCTGTGTAAAAGTGAACCTCTGTAAGCGGCTTCCTCACCACTACAACCTCAGTGCCTTCACTTGTAAAATGGAGGTAATAGACACTGAATTCTTTAGGCAATGCACTGAGGTCCACTAACCAGAACTGCTGCAGAACGGCCACGTGCTATTTTTCCCACAAGAAATTGTTCCTCACAGGAGCTCAAACATATTTCTGATGGGTAATGTAATTTTTGCCTTCAAAATAGACCAGAACAAAAAGCATATTTTCAAAACTATTCTTGAGTAGCAGAGATGACTGCTTAAAACTCCTCCCTTCAGGAGGATGAAAGCTGGTAGGAAACAAACCTTTTCCTCCAATTTTCAGCTTTTGCCCTGTGCTGCCTTGTTGAGAAAGGGTTGGTGCTACTAAGAGCACCTTCCACTCCAGTCAGTATGCAAAGTTCTGCCTCTGGTCTACACTGAATTCAGAAAAAGGATTCCCTTCCTTCTCTCCCCTCCATGGAAAACACCTACCCTCACCACTCCATCTGTGCTTCCTGTGACAATGATGCTGCGCGTATCCCAGTCCATCACTTCAGCAAAGCAGCAGCAAACAATTCGGCTTTCTAGGTTGCAGGCAGTATTAATGCTTACAAGAGGCTGGCCATTGACTGTCCACAGGCATAAGGAGGATCCAGCACAAGAGACAATATCACCCTGTAACACAGCAGAAGGTAATGTTTCAAGATGCTACACTCACCCTCCTGCGCTGATTGTAAATTACAGCGTGGCCTAGGCTTAAATTCTTACCTTCGTTTTGCTTCTCAGCAGAAAATTAATGCTAGAGATGGTAAAAAATGACATTTTTTTTCTCATGAAGAATTCTGACATTTTGACATTGTTACCGCATTATTTTGCTAATCTGAGACAGTTGTTTTGGGTTTCTACAAAGCTTTCTGTGCTGTTCACTGGTGAAAATATTTATTTCAATGTTTCATTTCAATTTTCCAAAACATCCAGAGCAGCTTCCACAGACTTTTTATTACTTTTCTTTTTTTTCAATTTAACAAACCCCAGAAATGTTGTGATAAATAGGTCATGTAAGAAGCGGCTGTAAAAAAATTCATCAAAAATAGTTGAATTAAAAGTATCTGAAACATCCAAGGAATTTTTGTACAGTCTGCTCTTTTATTACATTCTGCTCTTGAGAGACTTAAATGAGATGAACTAGCGCATACAGAAAAACTTTATGCATCAGGGTAAGCCTAATAATAATAATAATAATAATAATAATAAAAACAGTATCTGATCAGAAAGTTAAGGCTGTCAGGTACTACTTAGACAATAGATAAGGTTTCCATCTTGGAAAGATAATGGTCTTAGTTTTGGGTGACAACTGTTTTTGCTAACTGACTTCAATATTAAGTCCTATTTTCAAACCCCATAAAACACGAACTACTTAAGTACAACAAGGCATGACCATTCAAACATGCACACATACCAGCAACAGATTCTGATATTTAGATCCCACAACCAGTGGAAGTTGATTGCCTGAATGTTACTTTTTTTAAATTTTATTTTATTTTATAACTGACCTATCAAAGAAGAGTTAAGCAATGCCTCAGCAGGGAAAAGAAATTCAGTTCTGGCTGAACAAATTCCATCCACGTTCATCCAATTCTATTAGATCAGACCATGGGCTTGTCTGCTTTAGTACTGTGGTAGAAGCATCTACGTACCAGGACTACTCTGTGCTTTTTGCCAGTACTGGGAGGCAGTTTCTAAAGGGAGCAGAAAGGTGATACCCTGGCTTCCTCACATGAAATCTAGACTCCCAGTTTCTCCAGGAAGATGCTTTTTCTGACAGAGAACTTCTCAGGATGGATATAGAAAGTAGACACTCAGCAAAGGTGCTGTAGTGCTAACTGCCACAGCTTTGTCATGCAGGCGGGCAGACTAAATCAACCAAATTAGATGATCCCAAGGTACCCTTTTGGTCTTCAACTCTATGAAAAAAACCCAACACTGACACGGAAGTGGGCAATGGAAGCAAAAGAGGAAAGAGGAGGAGAAATAACAGAGTTGTGTAATAGAGCCAAATCAGTAAGATAACTTTTGGTCCAATATATGGAGAATTTCATGCATTTTGTTGAAATTACTCAGTAAGTCTCACTGGAAAAACGGTGATCATCCATAAAACAGAAGAAGCAGGATGACATTTTAAAAGACATACTTTCTTTTGCAGAATTCTTCAAGTCTACAAAGATCTGCAGAACACTGCGCATTCATGCCCACCCTCCCCACAGCAGTCTTGCTGGTCTGGCTGGCATTTAATTACTTTTCTTATTTTGTTCAAAATATCCCAGCTTCAACATCTGCTTTTTGGTTTATGTGCTCTAGCCTTGCCAAAACTAGACTGATTCAAACTAGTAGGGACAATCTGGAGACAGGTCAAACGCAGGCAGTCTGCAGCTATGTCAAAAGATGGGGGGAATCAACATCCTGACTCATGCCAACTGCAAATGCAGCCTTGACATCCACTTTCTACAGCTGGGGAATGGGGGGCCAAAGGAGGCTCTCAATATTGTTCTGCAGTCCCTAGGCACTCACTGCAGCCAAGCAGCCTGTAGAGACACCAAGATCACAACATTCTAGGCTAATCCTGAGGTAAATTCACTGAAGCTAACAGCTTGTTAAGACAAGCAATCAAAAAATTCCCCTTTTTGCCCTCCAAGCAAGCCAAGCCAAGCATGGCAAAGGATTCAAAGGAGAGGCACAGAGAAAACACAAACACAGAAATGAGGCTAGAAAGGTTAACTGCTCTGCTTTGCCCTTAGCTTTCAGTCAGTGGCATACCCCAGGAGAACGCCTACTGATTTACCTAGAGAAAGGGCAGTGTCAAAACCACCCCATCCCTGAGGTGCTGTTAAGAACAGAGACTGTGCAGAGTCAATACCTGGGACAGGTTTTGGGCCAGGCCTAGCACTTGCAAGTCTTGCTGACATACAAATAAACATTCTCTTAAACGAGGACATGGCGTTCACCTGCTTCGCTGCTAAACCTTTGGTGAATTCACAATCCTCCTCTGCCCCTCACAGGGAGCTTAATGTCATCGCATTTTTAGACTGTTTTGCATGTATCCAGTGACCAGCTCTGCATTCAACACGAGCTGTGCTCCCGAAGCAGAAAACATCCTTTGCAACTGAATCTTCCCTCTCCCTTCAGTGCAGGTGCATAGTCTTACCAGGGATTGCACATAAGGAACAGCTACACAGGTAATCCTTAGGGGCAGGAAACGCACAGATCTAAGAATCAAGAGCTGATGCTGTAGTTTTAAATGATCTTATCAAAAACGCACTTTGATCAAGTTCCTAACTGGAATTCCACCCAAACTTTCAACCCTTGATGCAAACTAAAAACTGATCAAACAGAACAGCATCAGCAAAGTCATCCTCTTCTGTCAAAGGCCAGTGTACCCTTAAATTGGCAGCATGCATCTGGTTCAAGTTGACTATCACCGTTCTTCTCCCCTGCCTGATCTGGGGGGCAGAATTCCAAAGATAAACAAGGACAGTGCATTTGAAACATAGTTGCCAATAATTCAAGAGATCAAACTCAGCCACCTTATCTGCATGAGAGCACATGGATGCCCAAGCATTTGGCAAGAATCTGCAGTGTTTTTCAGATCCAGATCAGGGATTAAAACTAACTGAAATCATTAGTTGGAGCAAGCTTTTACAATCCCACTTAGCTTGTAAACTCTTTGGGATAATATTTTATTTTGTGTCTATGTGATACAAACACCATGAGATTGGGATCTATAAATGAAGCTTCTAGATGCTAAAGCAAATGTAAGACCCAATAATCACATAGCAAAGAGCCGCATAAGACTCTTCAGAGGAAAATATATGGTTTAGAAATTCATTTCCTTCAAAACTTTGCTTCAATGCAGAAGAAAACCCAAACATTCTGGATTTTCTGAGAAAACAAAACATGTTGCCAAAAATATCATTCCATGTCAATCAAAATGTTTTACTAAGCACAATGGAACCATTTTGTTTCTATCTTAATGTTATAATGTATATATTAAATAAAAATACATTTCACAATGAAACTTTGAAAGATCCTATTCTGCTAAGGTCAAAAAAATTTTTTTCACGCACAATATATGGACCCTTCCTCTTTTTTTCCTTGAAAAGGAAAGTTTCAGTCACGCTCTCCCACAGTTGTTTTTTTTTTTTTTTTAAAATGAACCTTTCTGTAGAATAGTGTCCAATCATTTCAACTGTCTGCAATCCAATAAGATGGAAAATTGCTTGTGGATCAATCAACAGCCTATTCCTGGCACAGACCATCTCATTTTTGGACAGTCCCAGAAGAGGGGCTACCAGCTGAACAAGCTACTGACAAAGGTGAGCTGGTGTACAAAAAGGAGAGAACCCCATTCCCTTGGGCTCTGGTGCCCACACTCTGCATCAGCTCTCCCATCCATTTCTGAATGCTTGGCACTGCCTGCCTCAACTGACTTTCTAAGGGACCATCGGGACAATCTGCGCTGGCCTGCTGAAGTCACTGGCCATTTTACACTAACCAGGATCCCTGCAACTGCATGATGAGCTGGCATTGAACAGACCATTGAATTCCCACTCCTAGTTACTAGCGATCAGACTGCATGGTTGGTAAAACTCTTGTATGAGACAGTTATTTTGGCATACACTAAGTACAGAATGTCTGCCTGGTTTCTTAACTGCTGTGAACTCAGTATCGCCTCTCTTAGCTCCAATAGTGGATCCAACCTCAAACTGTGCAAGAAGCTAGAATCCAGGTCTTGTGTATAAACAAGAGACAGAATATACAAATACATGAGCAACATTCTTGGGAGGTCGAAGTTCAGGAAAATTCATACCCACAGTGTTTACAGTTATATCCAATAGAGTATTTTCCTATCAGTATGCACGCCATTGTGGCCAGGCACAGACCACAATAGATCTTTCATTTCCACTGTTGGCAAATGAAACCCCAACCACTGCTATTAAAAGCCCCCTCTCTGCTGAGATTAGAAGGGAAAGCAAAACAATAGCATTGCCACTGCAAGGGTATCAGAAAGTTGCCAGCTGAGGTGGCAGACTGTCTAACACATCTCAGCTGACATGGCTCTGCCGCATCAATGTCAGGAGAAATTAATGGAAGCAATAAGGTTATGGGTAAGCCAAATCCAGGAGCTACCAGAGCAATACTTCATGCTCCTTAAATTAAAGAAAGGAGCTTAATCCTGCTGTCTACCTATGCGAAAGATGCTTCTACTTAGCTACTCAGTCTACGATGTTGCTTTTAGTGCTCCTTTCTCATCATTAAGAACACTATTAGCAATCTCTGCAGAAAGAAAAAAAATCAATGCATCAGCCTCTCAGGATGTTTTTATGTTGGAAAGAGCACCCATTAAATTATCATGAAATGTTCATGGATGCATCAGAAGAAAGATGATAAATGAAGATCTTACCGTTGAATCGTTGATGACAACTGCAGAGAGACTTGCCCCATGGGCAGGAAGCTGGGTTATGAACGTTAGCCGGTTCAGGTCCCAAACGATGCAAGTTTTGTCATCAGATCCACTCACAATGATGCTGTAGGTCACAGAGGCAGCGAGGCAGGTCACTGCCTGAGTGTGCCCATACAAAGCCTGGTGGAGACAAATCAACCAATAAACCACAATAGAAGCTGGCTGATTTCCTAGTGAACCACAGTTCTACTGTTATTTGCTTAGTAAGAACAAGCAACCTGATTATTCTTTGGAGAACCAAAAAGATATGAAGCAGAATTCCCAAAGCATCCTGCAGAAGAATCCATGTCCTCAACACAGTTGGGAAAAGCTGAGTCTCCAAGAGGTTAAATGTCTTGTCCCATATTGCACAGGTGGAACAGCTGAACTCTGACCCTCGGCATACATTTCTGACTACTACAATGCTTTGTGCTCTAAACATAGATATGTATTCAGCACAGCTCAACGACATGAAATCACCTTTCACTTCAGTCCATGCAATTTTATAATCAGTAAAATTCATGCTTGCAGACTACTATTTCTCAACATTTAAAAAAATATTTTGAAATAAAACTTATCATGATGTACTTCAGTGACTTTCTCAGACTTCTCCTGTTTTTCTGAACAAATACTAGAATTTTTCCAATTTTAGTTAAAAAGAAAAACAGCATTTGGGGAGAATTTTTACTTTAAAGCCACATATGAATCCCCTTCTCTTTCATCGTTATCCAGCACCCTTTTTTCTGTCCTATATATTGCAGAACGTAAGACCTGCCTAGTTTAATCCAGTCTTGTTTATGCAATTTTATTCAAAAAAAATCTATATTTTTTTAATTAATTTACTCTTTATTATTTTTAATCAATTTAATATTAACGATAGAAACATATCCATGACAATTCTTTTATGCAACATTCTGAAGTGTCAGCAGTATACATTTATGCTACACAGCCACCTATGACAGTACATTCTTTAGGGCAACAGAGAAAAAGTCCTCACAACTTTCTTTAAAAGCCTTAAGGGGCTTGATTTTTAGGTGCCAAGAGGATGGAGCCAGACTCTTCTCCGTGGAGCCCAGTGACAGGACAAGAGGCAATGGGCAGAAACCGATACACAGGAAGTTCCATCTGAACATGAGGAAAAACTGCTTTCCTGAGAGGGTGACTGAACACTGGAACAGGTTGCCCAGAGAGGTAGTGGAATATCCTTCCCTGGAGATATTCAAAACCTGCCTGGACATGATCCTGGGAAATACGCTCTAGAGGACCCTGCTTGAGCAGGGGGTTTGGACTAGATGATCTCCAGAGGTCCCTTCGAACCTCAACCTTCTGTGACTCTGTGCCTTACTGTGAAAAAAAGCAGGTCTACTAGTTTTAATGTTAGTTTTAAGAGTAAATGCATATTCCCTGCTGGCTTTCTCTGCACGGCATAATTAGTACATCTTCAGGGTCTGTCTCAGTTAAGCATGGAGCAAAAGAACCACGCGTCCCAGATGCTTTCTGCAAACACGTGTCTCTCATCCTTCTCCAGTGCATGATTCTCAGACTGAACTCTCGCTGGCTAACACGTGCTGCCACTTGCCAAGGTTATTAGAACAGCATTCCAATGTTAACCTATTGGCCAAGAAGCTGAATCTCAGCAGGCTACATACTACTGAAGGAGAAAGATGATTTTCAGCTTGAGATTTAGTCCTTACAAAAGGACTATCAACTAAAATCCTGGCACAAGATGAACTTTCCAACAGCAGTTTTCAGAGGTCAGAAGCACTCTCAAATGTGCTCTAAAAAGGGAGGCTCAGCACTGATTTTGGAGTGGCTGTGGAACAGCATTTTTGCACAGGGCTAGCCATAACCTAGTAACGCCTGTGCTTGAGAGCAGCACAAGACCTCTGCAAAAAGGGCCGGGAGAAGGCAGGTTCAAGGGCTCCAAATTTCCTCTTCTTCCTCCAAAGCAGGAAACAAAATGTATCCACAGCATCTGTACTGCACAGTCAAGTCAACCTCTTACACAAACTTGAACCAAAACCCTCTCTCTCCTTTTTTCTGAACTCAGAAAGCCATCCCATCTGGCAGTGAAGAGCTTTAAGCGCAGGCCGAGTGTTGACAGAAAGGGCTAGACCTGAGCTCAGCTATAATCTCAGCTTCAATCCACTTGTGTCTCAATGCATATTCAGGCAAAAACACTTGAGTGCTGGTAGCTTCATAAGGCCTTCTCACTATTCCTCTGCAAAGTCTGACAGGTTTTTCCCTCAGTGGAAAAACTACAGCTTACCTATACAAAAAGAATCTGCCTGTCTCCAGACAAAATTCACCAACATCAGAAAACAAAAAAGGGTCCAGCTTCACTGCGGCAATGCTCAGACCACGAAAACTGAACTCGAGTTCTGACCATCCAGCTTAACTAACTGGCATGGGCTCAGACATCCTCCCGACCCATCTGCACAGCAGGATATTGCACTCCTTGCCTGGATGCTTCTTCCAACCCATTCAGTGTTTCACTGGGCTCCCAAATTCTGGAGGTTGGTTTGCCCAGATCGCTCTGCTCACAAACAGCAGAAGAACTGGCAAATTGCATGGATCGATACTGAGGCTATTATGCTCAATCTCCTGTGTTCACAAAACTGTGGAAGCAGCCCCTGCTAGAGAGGAAAAAGGGACTTTTTCTGCTGAAATATAGTTTCTGTACTTTACTGCATTCCAAATCAGAATGTCGCAGTCCCATGAGACAGCTGATAAGTGAATACCATCCACTTTACAGCACATCAGCTTTACTTAAGCAAAGCTCACTGTCTCAGGAAAGATGATACAATAGTTCTGTTCAGCAGAAAAAACAGCCAGTATGAAACAGTGAATTACAAGAAAGCAGCATGTAATTCACTGGAAGACATTTAGAACCACAGTTCAAATTTACATCTATGCCAGTCATTAAAAAAAAAAAAAAGAAAAAAAAAAGGCGCCTCTGCTAGCAAAGAGAGAAGAAAATAACACAGCATGATCTCACACCACTTTGTGGATTTGGATAATATCTGATTAATCATAGTGGAATACACCAGCAAGGCTGATGCTAGACAGTTAAGGAGAAAGGCATGATATTGTACATAAAAGATAGCCTCTTCAAACAGCTGTCTGAAATTCAAACTGAACGCCGGACCTGAATCATTTTGATGTTCATGAAGATTGCTGCTTAGACTTTTCTCTAGTGCTATTTCTGTGTCCAACATCCTAGTTTGGAATACTAAGCAGCAGGATTGATAGGTCACCACTAAAGATCTTGTCTCCTATTTCTTGCTTCTTCTGAAGCAAGCAGCATTATAAATCTCATAAGGGAGGCGGCTCCAAACAGTTTCCCTCCCAACTTCAAGACAAGAAGTTCACATAAATAAAGTTCTGGATACTGTTCTGGCCTCCCCACTGATACTGAAGTTTTCACGTTGTTAATTACAAATAAAATAGATTTTTGGCTCAGGGTAAGGAAGGCACTGAAATATCTCCCGAATATCCCTCTGGAGCAAATGAACAGACCATGCTTCTAACACTTGGAGACCTTCTTGCTGATCAATGCACCCTTTATAATTTTGCCTAAGAATAACATAACATTTTTTGTCTCTTGATTTGCTAGGAAAGAGTCACATGCTGCCTTATATGGGAGAGGAGTATTTCAGCTTTAACTGCAAAGCTGACTGAGAACTCACCATAACAGAACCAGACAAATCTTGCATGCAACTTGACTTTTGCAAGTGAAATAACATTTATAAGGCTACACAATGACTGCAGATGAGCCTCAAATCAGCAAACACTGAAGGACTTTGAACACTCTGGACACGAGCCACTCCATTTCTGTTGGGTCCACCTCTACACCTCATGGAGTAATAGGTAAACCTTTTACGTTCTGCATTCACGTTGGGAGAAAAGTATCAAGTCGTCCAACTGCCCAGCTGACCCTTCTCCATCAGCTAAGTATAAGTCTAGGAACCTAAAGAGAATGGCATTTTGCAGGGGTGTTCTGAAGATCCTGTCCACCTACTCTAACAACATAAAAAAAACCCTGGAACCATCTCCTGATGACACTGGGTTTTGAAAATAACCTAAAGTTTGACTGCATTGCAAGTGGGGGGAACAGCCTTATCTTCAGTGTTTCTTTGATCATGATAAACTATGGAAATGCTACCAGAGTGAGGGAAAAAAAAAAAAAAAAAGCAGAACATATGAACTATAAGCCACAAGTATAAGGCATGCTATCAGCTCTTGACCTGGTAACAGGTTGTCATTAGTATGACCCCCATCTCTATCATCTTTTTCTGCCTTTTTGAGTCATCTTAACATGTTACCTCTGCCATTCATCTGAGAGAAAGAAATTCTCTGATTTTCATTAAGTTTCTATAGCAAAAAAGCCATAGTACTCACCTGTCTCAAGTTTAGATGTTTCACTTTGTCCTTGACCAAAGAAAGTTCCCATACACATACAACAGAGCTTGTTCCAGATGTGATTATGGTAGTTGCTGAAGGACATACAGCACAGAGGCACTTTCCCCAGTCTGCCATACACTCAAATGTAGTCACATTCTGTATAAGAAAGCAACTTTCAGTCAAATGCTTATCTGGTGACACCATGCATTTATTTATACCAAATGGCAGATTTAGCTTTTAGAATTGTGTCCCCATTTCTTCAAGTCAAGGAAAGAAAAGCTCATCTTATCCAGGCTTTTTATGATCACAGCACCTCAAAGGACGCACATACACACACTATGGTAGCATGCAGCTGTGCAATCCTCCAGGGGCCAAACAGGGAGGATGGGTTAAAGTCAACATCTTAGATCATGTCACAGGAGACCTCAGCTCTGACCCCTCTCCTGCTACAGACGTCCTGTGTAACTTCAGGCAAGTTCATGGTGCCATCATACAGCAGGCAAACATTCAATGTAGACGAGAAAGAAACAGCTGAGGGACTGACTGCACTTTATCGGTGCACGAAGAAGTTTGCCCCACACTCAGCCAAAAGCCACAGTACTAAACTCCACTCTGTGCCAACTGCTCTGCTAGCAGCACCCAAGCTAGCCTAAACTAACCTCGGGTTGGTTACACGTTGCTGCAATCACAGCACAAACATCCCTCCACTCACATTCTGTATCAGCTCCCTACCACAAAATGGGGACAACAGTATGGTGCTAGTGATTGTGAGGAGCCTGGATGCCACAGTGGCAAAAATTATACAACAGACAGAACAATCTGTTACCAATTTACAATGACTGCAACATTTTCTTTTAAGTTCAAGTCCAAAGTCCAGAGGCTACCAATGCTTGCACCAGAGAGGCTTAGGTTGGACTCCCCCTATTGTTTATAGTGACTGTATATTCACAATAAGAGGCTCAGTGACACCCTGAGTTTCCTGGGTTATCACAATATCTTATGGTACTTTGATCTTTGGACCAAAAAAACCCAGCTGCAGAAGCTCCTTTCCTCTTGGTCATCCAGAAGAGAGGAAGCAAGTAATTTACAACTATGGTAGCATCTATGAATTGCTGAGCAATCATTTTTATCTATGATTTTGAAATCAATGAGGAAACTCTAAATGACTTTATAGGGAGCAGAAGCACGCTACACCTCATGGCTTTTTCAAATCCAGAGACTGGGTATGCCTGTAATACACAATGATGGGGCATGCAGAGATACCCAAGCTTATTTCTTCACGAATGATGTGTTCTGCTCCTTCTGGTACCCAGGCTAACTCAGGTGTTTCTACATGTCGTAACACTGTGCCAAACACATCCAAAATCAGTATGTTTGTGGTAGAGAAAGAAACTGAATCCGTCAAATGTTCTAACCAGCAGCATGGTGATATAGACTGTTGATTTCTTACAGCAAAGTAAAAAGAGAATTGACTTTCTAGAACAGGATACATTACTATGTTGAATGAATGCACTGGGCTAAGCATGAGAGCCAGAGGGGAATTGACAGATGGCCCTATCTTAATTCCAACAGAAAGTTCTGCACAATGAAATTTCTAATCAGGGGCCAGAAGACCTTGTATTGCCCTTATATCCTATGAAAGGAGGTTTCTCCTTCATTGTGACAGACAACACAGTCACTGGAAGGAAAATTTGGGATCAGTTAGAGGGGAAATGCCACAGTTTCAGGAGAGATGAATAATTTTTGCTCTGTTGGGATATCCAGCTTGATATTCCTCAAGAAGGCTGACCGTAAGAAAGTTCTATACAGAATCCACTGAAGATTAGGCCCCTCAACAGCCTCTGAAGTGGATGCCTAAACTAGCCAAAGAACCACAATGTACCAGCCATTTCTGGAATGCTTAATCTTTTTCTTATTTACCTTCTCAGATCCATAGTTGCCAAAGCAGCAGGTGAAGTCTTCAAATCCCCAACAGAATGTTTTGTTCCAAAGAGGAGGAATCAAAACTTTGTTTTTCTCAACAGCCAGAATGCCTTTCTCAGTATGAACAATGTGCCCAATGGCTCCCTTGGGAGAGTCTGATGAGAAAGAGAATATATTTAATTCTGTTGTTTCTACAGCATTAATGTAACTTTCCCACTTATGAATCTTGTGCACTGAGGCTGGCAAGACCCACACCTGGGATCAGGGCTGTGGCCAGACCCACAGACAAAAACCACCCTGCAAGTGAGATTCCAGATGGAACAGTGGAAACTCCTCTCTCCAATGGACCATATAAATCCATGCAGCGGGAGTGACCCAATCCAGAGAAGGGGATTTAACAGTGGTGTCATTAAGCTTCCTTTCACGGGCAGACTGCCTTATGCCCTGAACTGCAAAGTATGCAGGGCATGTCAATGACAATCTCTCTGCAGTAGGGCTACGGGAGAAAGATGTGTAATGCTAACCCCACCACCGAGGAACCAAAACGTAGACACACTGCGATTTTCCACGTTTCTTCAGGTTAAGAAAAGTAGCAGACTATGCAAAAGATGAAGAAAGAGAAAACACTTGGAGATCAAGCAACAGGGGTAAAGACAGACTATTTATTTTGCTGCTGAATATAAAGAGAGAATGAGAAGAGAAAATAGGGAGATCTATGTCTTAACTTGACATATTCAGAACTTAGAAGATTTTGGTGTCTTGTAAAAGAAAAAAAAATCTGTTCTGAACTCTACATGAGAAGTTTCAAGATTTCTCATGAGTATTTTCCTGTTTTCAATGCCCTCTTACAATACACACATACACAAATAACAACTGGCAGAAGAGATCTTGACGATACCAACCCGTGTTACAATAAAGGGGTATGATTGTTTTTGTGCTCTTAAAAAATCCAGATTTGGGATTTTGGTCAAAACAGATTTTGGTTAAAAATTCTGCACTTATTAGCTCAGAAAAGGGAGCACAGGACCTGCACCTTTGATTGCAACCGGTGAGAGCTTCACGTTTTGCAGGCTGCTGAGGGATGGAGGAAGAATTCCACTTGAGTGAAGAGACAGCATAGCCTCTTTTCCTGAAGAAATTTTCCCCTGGGCATTCCTGGATGGATGTGGTTTAGTGAAGAGCTAGAACAAAGGCATGGCATTGAAAAATACATCTTGGCCTGCCAGACCACGCCGAAGAGACATCTATTTAAAAACTAATTCAGACGCTCAAGACTGTTATACATGAACCTCTTCATTAAAGTAAAATCTTCTTAGGCATTTATTTCACTACACTCCCACTAAACTACCTCCTTTCTTCACAGAGATAGCAAGCTAATCCCCGCGATTCAGTGGAAGAGAGAAAAGTATAGGTGAGACTTTAAACTGCCTTTATGTACTTAATCCCAGCCTGGTGGTTACGCAAGTGACCATACTGAAAAAGCAGAACCCGGATCTGATACTGCTGCTGTTATGATACACAGCAAGAATAGCATAATTAGAGTGTGGAGTCACACACACCTATGTGGGTGTGCACTGATGTAGTATACAATCTGGAGGAGACTATGGCCCAACTTTCAGTAGATTCAAGCAAGAGAAACAGTCTCTGAAACAGGTTTCTTCTCTTGCTTTCCAGTTAAAACATTACAAGATCAGAATAAATTGTCCTCTCTGTTTTCCCTCCTAGAGTCATGATAAAGTGGTACCTGCTTTGGTATCTGTCCAAAGTTGCTGATAAAACCCAGGATAGTGCTCTTAATCAGAGGATCTTTGATGTTGTTGAGGTCCATCTTGTCTCCATAGAAGTAAGGGTGGTAGGTGTTAACTGCCTCCACTGCAGCTGAGCCATGTTGCTTGTGGCCAAAAATTAGATCTATCCAGCGATGGAGGTGGGCACTGACATAGTCACTTTCTAGTGCCTGAAACCAAACAAAGTCAATTCAGTAGAGCGTGTCCATTACAGATGCATCATTACCCTTCATTCCCTGCTGAAGACTTAAATTCTCCGCAGCGCTCTCAGCAAGTGAATCCTCATGCTTTCAGTTCCTTCAGCACCATCATTCACAGCACATTCTCACAAAATGTGACCAAAGAGATGAAGGGTGGAACCCCACAGGAAAAGAAAGGGCAGACTGTAGCATGCCTGTCTTAGCAGACACCAGCAACAATATCCCCAGACACAGCACAGGCCGCATCAGATTCTAGTAAGCAGAGTACAAACACTATCCAGATCCTGGCACATTCTCAGTTTTCCAACACACATTGAAACCTGTGCTACCACGTCTTCACTAGTACTGCTATTGACACAAGATGGGTTAAATGGGCAAAACATTTGCTAGCATCTGACACCACTACTTTGCTCTATAGACAAACCACAGGTGAATTAAGGTATTAGTCTATTTGTAGACACCTGCCTTAGTTATGGACCACACTAAGTGACAGAGATTTCATTTTAGAAGACGTATATAAGTACACACAGGAAAGGGAGATGACTGGCAGAGAGGCTTTAAATCAAGAATCAAGTCTGAAGGGTATGGTAGGAGAAGGTATGTGTCACGAACGGGCAAATGACAGTGTACAGCTTGTAGTGAAATGGCTAGGCGTGCTGCAATTCAAGACAAGCAGAGCAGGACGGAATCCTGCAATAGCAGTGTTGGGGAGTGGCACAACAGCTGTGTATCAAAAGCTTCAAAACTACCTGGGTTTGATCAACAAACATATTTTACAACCCTCACAAGGCTCAGGCAGACAGAATTGCGGCACCCGATTTCCTCACCCTGAAAAAGTTCAAGGTCCCATCTGGACTTTTCTCCCAGCATGAAAAGCGGATAACTTTGCTTGAGTAGGTCTGCCACCCACGCTCACAGGCATATAAATTAATGAAATCAGAACAAACAGTTACCACTGGAGAAGACCGCAGAGACGTGCTAGAAGGGAATATACCTAGCCCAATGTGGGCTCCCTAGAACGCTCCGCATAGAGCGGAAAACTAGGCTTGCAAGACAAGCAAGTTCACGGGCAGTAGACATAAGTCGAGTTGGAACTTTTCCCACCTCCAAGTCTCCTTATCTATAAGGCTTTAGGAAGTGCTATGGCCCCTAACATCACCTGCCTAACCAAATCTTTGGGCATTCCCAAAGGGCCTTGCCCTATGATTCAATCAGCAGTGCTAAGCATTATTAAAAATACTTTTCTATCTCCAAATGATTTGATTCTGCAGTGCTCTCTGATGCTCAGTAAAAGGTCTCCCAGGCAGAGCATCCCACCCAAAGCACAGCAGAAATAAATAAGCTAATGGGAACCAGAACAATGGCTCATTTCACAGAGCAGACACTTAGCCCAAAGCAGCTGGTTTAAATGACTCTGCCCACAGCTATAATGATCACAGGGCAGCTCAGAGAACAAGCACGGCACATAATCTGTCCCCTGCAAACAACAAGAAAACACTTATGACCAGATTCAGAACTCATCCTCATTAATAAATCTGTTAATGCATGAATTACAAACTGTAAATTTTGCCTGGTACCACTTCCAGAGCGAAACAAAACCACCAATGGACTGAGCTGCAACTGGGTAGCCACTCAATATTTCACCGAGCACCACGACATTATGCAGCCCAGTCACGGTGGGGAGAACCTGTGGCCAAAGGAGGGAGTAAGAAAATTACTTTACACAGATAAGATTCCTAACTTATTAAACATGAAACAGAGAACTAATCACAGTTTTATCTTACAAACAATTATTTGCTCTCAGATTGCTTAAAGCAATAGCCAGGCTTCAGGATAACGATGACCTGGATCTGTTTTAATTGTCCAAATTCTCTGTGAAGCCTCATAAAAAGGACCATGATACCAGTAACAAGTACATCCAATGTGGCAGGTGATTTCAGCAGAGACAGAAACCCTCCCACTTCAGAGTTTAAGATCACTAACTCTTCAGGGTTAGGATGAAACTTCCTTAGGTAAGCTGATCAACTCTCTTTCCACAGCAAGATTTCTTGCACCCTCTTGTGTACCATCGGGCACTAGCCACTGTTGGAAAGAGGATACCGGACTGAATGTGCTTGAGGTCTGATTGAGTCTATAAATCTGATTTTCCAGTTGTTTTAACTGCTCCTATTTGAGATTTGAATTCTGGCTTTATCAGCTGTGCCTGTACTATCAAACAGTGCAGCTCAGTCTGTAGACCAGAACAGCGGTACAGAGGACCAAGTATGCACATTATGTGCACCTAGGGAGCTTTATGTCAAACTAGCTCTAGTCTACTTCCGCTGGCTGGAGTGCCTTAGGTGCACACGTAGAGCATAGATTTTGGTTTAGTTTCGTCCAAGAAAGAAAAACAGCAGTTGAGTAGAACAGTTCACACAATCTGAGATTGCTCTCCAATGGGAGCAAAATCAGGCTAATCAGGGATGACTGGGAGATTCATTTGAAAAGTGCACCCTGCAAACTACAAGGCTAAGGCAGGATGTGCCCATTGTATCTAACTGCATAGAGCACACGGCGCTATAAACACTTTAAGAAGCGCAGCTCAGTCCTTTACACTCCAAACAATCCACAATAAGAGAAACAATCCAATAAGAGAAAGCATTTCTTCCTACACTTTTCTTTAATAAACATCACTGTAAAATTGCAGCAGCTCTCAGCCATCCACAGCTTGCTTTCTGCAGCACCTCAGTAAGGGGAGGGTGGTGTTATCATCCCGATGTATGGGAAACTAGAAGACAGAGACTAAGTACCTTGGAAGGTCACAGAGAGAGCCTGAGAAAGAGCAGAGAATGGAGCCAGAGGGCCCCAAAATCCACATGCTTTCTTTGCAAGCACTAGGCAATGTCAGGGAATTGTTATGCATTCGACCACAGTGGTCAAAACCTACTTCCAGTGAGTAGCACTGAGCTGCTGACCTGCAAGGGAGGTACTCCCTAGCTCAATTCTTCATTTTAACAGGGACTGTACTTCAACCAGTCAGCCTGCAGTACACACAACACTTATAATAAGGACCTCCCGCATCACTGCGGATACACTGTCCATGGTGATTGGCACTGACCAAAACTCAGGTCTCTTCCTTTCCACCACCTTCCAGTGCAACTAGAGCTCTGAGCCTTTGAATCGCTCCCTAAGAACCTCCAGAGGTGCCCGACTCAATAATACCTATCATTGTGCATATATAGGAGCTCAGGCAGCCTGAACAATCTCTCTGCATCTCAGCTCTCCATCTGGCAAAAACACTGTCTCCTTTCTTCACCCCCTTAGGCTAGTAGATTGCAAACGTGCAGGGGACAGAGTGTTTCTGCCTGTTAGCACTGACTGAAGACTGGAAGTTACACTCCGGGGGAAACTCAGACACTGAATTGTGTTTTCTTTCCAAATCAGAACAAAAAGCCCAACTCTCAAAATTTCTCATGTCTTAATATTCAAAAAAATTAAATTTTAAAATTGGAAAAATTACATCATTTTACTGATAATGAAACTATACACTACACAATATTAACTATAATAGCTGCATCATTAAAATAAAATCTTTTAATTCAGCCTGTAATCTAATATGAATGTTGTAATGAAAAGGTCATTCGAAAATGTTTTGATAACAAAGGCAGAAAGTTGAAGTGACCTACTGAAAGATTTTCTTGGTGCTACTGATACACTCCCATTTCAACCAGACTAGTTTTCCAGAGAAAAACTGTTCCATATGTTTTTTCTTCCCCAGCCAGATCTACACACTGTGTGCTTGTCTGCCTAGTAACACAAGGCTGTGATCTAAGTTACACATCTAACTGAAACGGAAATACAAGTTAAAACAAAGAACAAGAAGATTGATACAGCTTCTGTCAAGGGACTGATTAGGTTCTGAATATGCTGCAAATTCAATGTAGTGGCTTAAGTTACTAAATGGTGCGACAGCACACCACTGAGTCAAGTTACTAGGCATGGAGACATTTGAGACTTACTACTAATAGTAAGCTACTGTTCTCCACACCGCATAGCTTGGAATATCATTAATTCACAAGCTTGTATGTATTAAGGCTACAGACCTGACTCTGGGGAAACTAGTGGTTGGTGACTATTTTCAATCACATTTTTAAAATGAGTGAAAAGAGTATTTTTTTAAAAAGCATATACAAAAGTCAGCCATTTCATTTTTAACTTCAAGTAGGTAAGAGTAGCAAGGTAGAAATTTAACTTCTTTTATACAACAGTTAGCATTTACTGTTCTCACACAGCCTTAAAATGAAGTGTTCAGGTCATGAGTTCACAATAGAGACCAAAGAGTCTCAAGGAAAACAAAAATGAAATACCCAGTACCCTCATTATGTGCTCAATAGTCTCGAAACAGAAACAAAGGCAAGACTACTGCACAAAAAAAAGCACACAGGCTCAGATCACGCCCATGTTTACTCACAGAAGTAACTTGAGCACATGTGAACGAACCCACTGAGTTCAGACTCACTCTTACAATCAATGTTATCCACAAGCCAAAGTGTTTGGTGAATCAGAAACAGAGTATGGGAAGCAGACACTACAAACCACTGAGTCACCTTTAGAATATGCTTTAAAGGATTCTTTCTTTGCAAGATATGCAGATGACCAACACTATCAGCAGCCTGTTTTCTTGAAACAGGTGTCATAGCAGAAAATCATCTTCAGACTGGATTCACAGCCGACACACCAGCTTATGAAGGGCTTTTTTGGAAACATGGATAAAAATGGAATTGCCACACGTGGGACTAAGGCTAGATTACTGACAGCACCCAGGGGGCTGGGGGGAGAAGGAGATGCAAGAAGACACGAGAACAAATAAACCAAACAGATGCATAGGGTATCAAGAGAGAAAGGAGACACATGTAAATATGAGGAGTGCAGTCAGACAGAAATTCAAAAGGTAAGATTCTGGGGAAGGAGATTTATACAGAATGCCAGACAATGAAGATTCTGCCCTCACAGTTGTCTCTGTACTGTCTTGAAAAGAGCTATCAGGGAGGTTAAAAAAGAATGGAATGCAGATTCAGGAGACAGTCCCAGAAGAGTGTAAAAATAATTTGGTACTATGGACAACGACAGAAAGCCCGGGGTCTGAATGCAGCACAGAAGTGCAAAGCAAGGGACATGCAAAAGTAATGGAAACTGCATGGAAGCATGGTGGTTGCTATCAAAGTTTAAGAGAACAGTGGAGGAAAGAATACTTACAGGAGGAGAATATGAGTCTGGCTTTGTTTAAAATGGGGACAAAACGTTAGGCAATCCATAATGAAGGTCAGAGACAGGATTTAGGAACCAGTAGTCGGAGAGAACAACTGAGGAGAGGTTTATTTGCAGACAACAAAACAGAGAAGATAGTTGTAGACACAGGATTGAATGCAATCACCTGCAGAAAGATTAAAGAGAGTGAGACTTGAACCTCCAAAGGCAGGACCCTGCATGGCTTAGTAGAGGTGAGCAGAAGAACCCACTGAGGAAGAAACTGAAGGTACAAGCGACAAACCAGGAGGATGCAATGCCTTGAAACTCATGGGCTATTTGCTTAGTCCTACCAACGCTATATATAATCAACGCACAGTCTTGTATACAGCAACAATCTGCATGACATTCACAAATACTGATTGACTCATCTGTTTTCTTATGGCAGAAAGAGATGATGTAGTTACTTTCAGTAAGGGCTCTGCAGTACAGCCAATTTCCTTATTACCTCTAACAACAACAGAGATCTGCCTCAAGACAGTCAGCTGCAAAGTCTGTGTTTAACTCAACAAACTTGATATGGAATTGCTTTTGCGCTCATTATTAGGTAGTTTCATCTTTGCCAGGTGACTTCTTACAGAAGTAAGACTTTCATTAAGTTGATAGCACTAATTGTAGTAGACCCCTAGACCTTAAAGCTCTTTGCTTGCAGATTGCCAAGGGTGACTTCGTGAAAGGCAGCAAATCGCATTTGATTTTACCCCCCAAATATATCCCCCAAATAAATATAAAACCCCCTCATTTTGCTCCTGGCATGACTCAGAGATGGAGGTAGATAGCTTAAACAAACAGGCAGCTGGTTGGTGATAACATGGAACTGTATACATGTAAAGGCTGTGTGCATGCATGTGTTATGTTCACATGCACTTACAGGCTGAGATAAATCCATGCTGCAGACCTAGATACAAATTCCACCCAGTTTGGAAAGTTGGCCTTGATGTGGGATAAACTGTTCTGCAGACAGGTAGATATGCAAAGTTCAGAACTTGACATGAACTCTGCAAAGGTAGGATGTGTTTGTATCTAACATTTTGGTTTATACCCCAGGCCTTTAGGATTTCATTGTCAGTGACGCCCAGACCATCACAAAACTCGATACTCACTGACCTGTCTGTGCAGGTGAATGAACTGATGGGGATCCCCATCCGCCCAAGGAGGGAGCTGCACATCTCCCAGCACCGTTCCATCCTGCATGCAGCCTGCAGGAATTACAAAGGGAAAATTAGAAACAAGAATCACACACATTGCACATGGGAACAATCTGTCGGAAACAGCGACGTCAAAAGAAATTCAGGTGATTTTCACATAGGCAATTTCAGGTTCTACATGCAATACAGTGTCATAAAATACTGCAGAGGCAATTTCTCCTGGGATTTCTGATCTATTAATAAATCACTAAGAGGATGTTCTAGCAACTATCATTAATACAGTAAAGAAATACACATGCTCTCAGCAAGAACCATTTTAGCCACAACTGCAAACCCAGACAAGACAAAGCTGTTGGCACAACTTTCTTCTTGCACGTGATCCCATGGGCTTAACTGCCAGACACTGCTGCTAAAGCAGTCTCTGGGAAGGACTGCGCTCTCAAGTTCTTTGCAATTTGATTCATTTCTGAAGGTAAGCCTATGTTCCTAAATCAGGGCACGGTATAACAAGCCTGGACAAATTCAAATCTAAATTGAGGCTCAGGTCTGGACTGCAGGTGTCCTCACAGTGTAGCAGTGAGATTCTGCTCTTGGCACTGTCTATCACAAAATCTTTCTGTACGTTTGCTCTCCATCTGTGACTTTCTAATGCCTCTTTTATTTCCCTCTGCTTGGTTTCATTCAGGTCAGTCTCTGGATCTTGATTTCAGCCAGGCTCTGCTACTTGGCCTCCTCTCAAGATAAAACCAACCTGAATCTTTACCACCTTTAACAATGTTTTAACAACCTTTTCCCATCTTGCCATTTCCTTAGTGTAGGTCTCAATTCACTGGAATCTTAAATACAAATGATTTATAGCAAGACCTCAACACCACCGGTTAAGTTGCCTTTGTTGTCATTGATTTAGGAAGATTCTTTATTTGCCCTCTATCTTAATTGTTAACCAGGCAGTGCCCATTGGAATATGAAGCTTTGTATTGAAAATGATGTGGGTTGCCTGTAAAGTGAAGTGCTGTCCACAGTCAGGGCTGTAACACTGCACTGCCTCTTTCTGAATACTGATTTGTCCGAGTTCTCCCTGACTGTCCATCACCAATACAGAAAGGGTCTAGAGGCAGCGTACATTCAGAATGGTTTGGGATACTTCTTGAGGCCAGGGACTACAGATAAGTGCATGAGGACACATGCAGAACTTTTCAAGGTGACAGTGAGGACAGATTTGGCAACTTTAACCACCAGAGCGGTGGATACCAGAAGCTTTTATTCTTGAAGACTTCTGACCACAGGAATCGGTCTTGCATCATTAAAGAGCCTCATCAGTCAGCAAAGTCCAGGGACCAGTTCCCAACACACGATTTGGATCTTTTCTCTTGGCAGCATGCTGGGGAGTGGAAGCGGAGCACTGAAGTTCCTTCTAGCACTTACCAAGTTCAAAGTGGTTGGCATTGGTCAGGAACTCTGGCAAGTAGAAGAATTCAGGAATGAGTTCCCTGACATCACTCATGTTGTCTCTCGATGCTGAGTCCCACGTGCTCTTGACACTGTGAAACATCCTGTCTGCAACATCAAAGCTCCCGCCCTGTGACATGGAGACACGACAGTCAAGCAGACTACAGTGCAAATATTCTCTTAAATATCCAGCAGATGCAGAGTCTTAGCTAATTTTGTAATATGAACCTCATCACATATTTGAGTAGATGATAACTCAAGATCTGACACAGCTCTATTTACCGTGACCCTGTATTAGATGCTGTCTCAGTGCTGACTTGTAGATACACAAAAAGAAAATGCCATAAAGCCTGGAGACCTTATCTAGCTTGTAGTAACACAGGGGCAAGCACAAATGATCCAGGGCAGCTTGAGAATACCAGAGTACTCAACATTAATGTTTCTAGAGGTAACTTGTTCCTTTCATCCCAAAGTCCTTTGCAAGCTGAGGACACAACCTCAGTGTATTTACCTCAGCTGGGACTTAGATAAATAGGTATGTACAACCTTACGTGCAATCCTCTGGGGGGAGAGGGGGAAGCCTTTGAGAAAGTGGCTGAGAGCAAGAGAGAGAGAGAGATACCACTGAAATAACATTAATTGGATTCAGGCAAGCAGCTTGGGCCCAGTGGGCAGATGCCAGCCAGAACGATTCACTCCTCATGGGGAAGAGGGATAATACAAAGAGGGAGTGAAAGGGAATGATATCTGAGTTCAATGCCGAATTGGTATAGGAACAAGGAGAAAAATTGCCTCAAACAGTCCTGAGAGCATTTAAACCTGTTTTAATTTAATGAGAGTCAAGCACTACCTAATAGTGACCTTCCTAGACTAGGACGTTGCTCTGAATCGAAGCCTTAACTGGAGAAATCAATCAATCAATCAATCACCAACTTAATGAAGGGTATGCCTTAGATTGGAGTCATATTTCCTACAGGATTCTCACTGGGATCTCAGACACTACATGCATTTTTGAAAATCCCATGCTCCTATTTATATAGGGATACCTACATCAAGCACCAACACATTTATTTTAGCATAAAATTACTGTAATAACAGAAATAACTAAATAGATTATCGGTTTTTGGAGATCTATTTCAGCACGAACAAGCTGACTCAGAAGACAACTGCCTTAACTGTGCCAAGTGACAGAACCAAACTGTTTCTCAACATCTAGTGCAGGTACTAGCAGCAGGATAGCTGCCCAATGGCAGCATGCTCACAGGCTAATGTATGTATTTCTCAGTGGGGTTAGTTAACTTGGATTATATGCCATGGGATACAAGACTACATCCCATTGCCAGGGCCCAAGAGAGATTGTCAGAGATAGCATAATTATCTTTAAACAATTCTGCAGTGCAGTATAAATATATGCATGGTTGCTCATCTTCAGTTATTCAATCCTTAAAGCTGCTTCATTAGGTAAGAACAGGCCAGTGGTAGGAACAGAGCCAGTAACGAATGAGGGATGCTCAGGTATTACAGAAAGGAAGGTCATACGGGTATTCGTGAAGACAGAAAGGCTTTATTTTCTGTTTTGCTGTTTTCCTGCCCGTTTACACAAAACGCAGAAGGCTTCTGGGACTGTGAGCCCTATGCCCACTAGTAAATGACACGCCGAGTTCCTGTCACAGGCAAAACAGGAATATCGGAGCAACCAGCAGCTCTGATATAGCTGTTTTACACCAAGTCTGCTAGGTTAAACCTCACAACAGGCCCTTGAACCTTCTTATCAGAAGAGGCTGGAAAACAGCTTATACTGCTAGGAAGAGAAGCTGCTAGACAGAAACGAATGTATCATGCATACTCCCTTGGCTAGTCAGACCACTCCTAAATGAAAAGCTGCAAGTTTGGCTTCATGCACGTGAGCGATGGGTAGATTTTATTTCGCAAGAAAGCATCCTCTCTCGTTGGATTTAAGTATGAGAATTCAAAGACTCTGCAAGACTAGAGGTGACCTGAGCACCTATAGGAAAAAAAAGAAAGCTAAACTTCAGATGACAAAAATCTTTGGGGACAAAATTTAATACAGGATTAAATCCCTCAACTTCTACTTTCTTACATGCAATCTGCTTGCTGTGTGTTGGCACCCATGGACATTAGCCCAAGTAAGGACCAATTTGTAGTCAGGTTCTGTCTATGGCTGACCTCTTGGGAAAACTTGAGAGCCTTTGGTTAGTTTTCTTTCTGCTGCACGTGCTAGGCTAGGAGCACACTGCCCTCTGTACAACGACAGATGAAGCTTTGACCTTCAATCTGTTAAATATAAAAACAGCAGCTAAGCATCCTCACTCTACAAGAAAGGTATCCCACTCCCAGGGATCAGGTGAATCCTGAGCAGTAGCTCTCACATTGGTTTCTGACTGCAAGCATCACTCCCCATATGAAACCCAATACCTGCATGCTTATGATGCAGCTCCTTTGGATATACAACCCCCACTATGCCTGAGAACTGCAGGTCAAGAAATAACCGACCTTTTGCCCTATCTGTTGGTAGGGAGAAAATAAAGTCATGGATAAGGAAGAACAACACAGAAGTCAATAAACCTTAGGTTCTGAAGCCACAGTTCCCTACCTGTCTTTTGAGATAAGACTCCCACCAAAATCCAGCACATCTTCCAGATGGAAAGACCTCACTGCACTTTCCCCCAAGGTGAATTCTGACCAGGCTTTTGGTCCAGCCTCATCTCTAAATGACAATAGAGGGTACTTCCTGCAATACTTCTTTGTGTTTTATGTCCTTCTTCCCTATTCCACTGACAACAGTAGAGCCTTTCCACACTCTCTCAGGGGACTATAAGAGAAAAAGTGGCTAAGATCACATGAGTAAACCTAGTTGGAGTTAATCTGATGCACAGGGTTATCTTGCTCTTGATCATTATTAGGCAGGGAACCTTGGAGTCAAATTCAAATTGAAATTAAAACAGAGTAGAAGGAAGGCTATAAATAAATCAACAGTTAACAAGTATCTCATTGAAGCATATTAAAGGGTCTGTATATTTAATCTGCACACAGCGCGCTGTGTCTGGTGGTGATTGATGCTTTTTCATCTTTTTTTGCAGCTTTTATGAGAGCTGATGGTAATCTCCTGAGAAACAATATGATTTGTAATAAAAAGATTACCTGTATTAAATAAAAATAATATATACATAGGAAATGCTGTTAGCGCGACAAATCTGGTTAAAGATATTACCACCACGAAAAAATGTGATTTTTTCCCTGGCTGTCTAATTCATTTTAGGGAAAAGTAATATCTTTAAAACTTAAACCTGTATTATTTATAAAGGAAGCAATAACTGATTTTCCCATTTCCTATATTAATAAATTTATTTGCATATATTTATATCAGAATTAATGAGTTTTCTCTCTCTATGAATGCAAAAACCGCACTGAAAGGGAAAAGGAGAATCCAGAATTGCTTTTTGCCTTTAGAATGCAAGCCAACATAAACTCTTACAGCTTTCAGTACAGACCTTACTGTGATCAGGGATACTGGTAAAAATAAGCTTTTAAAAACTACAGCTCAGCAGGGTATATACAAAGCAACTAGTCAAAGCGATCTCTGGAGAGAAGTTAGATCTCCCCATGTTTATAGATCTAAGCATCACTGAGTCTTGATGTTGCTTTAAATCCAAAGAGCTCAAAGTGTTTCTCAGAGATGCTTATGAAGGTGCAAAGACTAACCACAGCCCCAGAGATGCTGAGAATTAATTACCGGCATTTGCAGATGGTGCTTAAATGATTGTTCTGGAGTCAGTGATAAAATAAAGGAAAAGAACCCTATTCTTGATAAGTACATCACAGAGAGAAACACCAGGAAGGAAGAAGAGCCTGCTTAGTTGAAACGCAACATTGGCATAAGAACAAACAGGGATAAAATCTGAGGTGAATCAAAAGCAGATGTCACTAACCATCAAGGGCATGAGGTCCTGGAATGCCTTCCAATGGAGATGCTAAGTACAGAAACCCTTGCTGCTTTTAGGTGATGCTGAGACCAGCTCCTGAAAGGAATTTTAGGAGGTTGCTGCCTAAGGGCAGCTGGGGGAACTCACCAAAGCAGAGAGTACCATCCAACATCTGTCCAATGGCCGATATTTCATCCATTCCAGTACAAAAAACAAAGCACATACAGACCTTTCTCCAGAGTCAGATCACAACGTTCTTAAATGAAATGTGAAGTAATAATGTTTTGTAAACTTCTTATATGACGTTTACAGAGAAGACTGTTATAGAGACATTGCTTTCTCACTGCCACCTTCTACGGCTGGGTGCAAATCAATTCTTTGACTCAAAGGAAAAAAGGACAGTATGCCAACATCAATTTCTTACAAGGCATGCACCCAAGTTGTTGCATTTTCTCTTCTTGTGCTTTCGGACTGGCAGTTTGGGGTTGTAACTGTGGCTTTTCCATTTTTTAAGATGCTGTGAAGCTTTCACAGCTCCCATCTCAGCACCCTTCCAAAGGCTTAACTCTAGGAATACTCCTCTTCCAACTTGCTCCTCACTGACCATATGGTTCTAGGGGCTGCTGTTTGCCTGACTGTATCTCCCAGAAAGCAATTCCTAAAGCTCAGCTGAAGACGCAGCAACATAAGAGCAAAGGAATAAGAATGAAAGAAGCAGTCAACAGTTTTAGTCAATCTACCTCTAGACAAAATTTTCAGTGCTTCAGGTTTCCGTAGCCTTTGAAGATAACTACCCACAAAGAAGTGTCAGCTACCTGCCAAACACCCATAAACATAGCCACAAAGCAGCCACCCACAGTGGGGACTTGTTATGCATAAGTGTGCCAGTGAGATGGAGCAGCCTGTGTTGTTTACAACAGCAATAGCTGTTCTACAGTCATTCATGACTGCAGCTAACATATGGCTCACAGAGCGTCATGGTAAGCACTGCCTCAGGTGGTTTACTAACCCATCATCTACTGCTAGTAACAGCCAATATCATAGGGCTTATTACTTAATTAGCACAGTGCTTTGTTTGTATTAGTTCATTTAAAAAAAGAAAATAAAAAAAGATCAGAATAACCGAAAAGCACTTAGAGAGCTGTAAGAGACATGGCCAGCCCTCACTGCATGTACAGCAGTCTCTGAGCAGTGGAATATCCTAACCTAGCTACCTCTAACACAGTGCTCCATGAAGATAGGAGGTTTCATCTCAGTGACAGAGGCTAACGTTCAGAGAGGAAGGAAAACATTGTCTAGGTATTTACATGTCCCAACTCTCACCAAATGCATCACAGGACCAAAACTAAATAACTCTTCTCCCTCAGGAAAAATACACAAACAAAGAAATAAACAAACAAAAACCAGAAAACCAGCAGGAATCAATCCTACTCCCATTAAAATGTTTCCACTGAATTCAACAGATACAGGACAGAGCCTTCAATGAGCCCAGAGTTCACACAGGGTACAGAGAAAAATGTCAAGCGAATTAACCCCCCTTTATTAGCCAGTCACTATCATGTGCTACGTGGCTCATAACAAGAAGCGTAGGAGTGAAGCCAAATGTCTTGCCCCCTTACCTGCAGGGAACAGAAGGTCTGTGTAAACGGCTCCATTCGGACAAGGTAAGATGCCACTATAATTGCTGATGAATAGTGAGTACAGTAATGGCACTGGGCTGACAGGTCTCCTGGAAATTGGACACAAATCAGCTTTCAGTGCAGAATTTCACCATTTCAAGTCCATAACATCCTGTTATCACAACACAATTAAATAGGGAGTAGGTCTTTAAAGCAGATTTCTTCAAAGATCTGTGAGCAAAAGCATACCTTGCATGTTTGCATTTAATGTGCACAGTTATCACCATCTCTGTATTCTCTTTTTTTGCCTTGCACATCTCACTTTCTAAAGAAGGTGGCCTTTACCTTTCCAGACCATCCTCCTCCCTGTTAGTCCTAAAAAATATCTTGTCTCCAGAGGTCAATAGCCTCAATGCTCTGTTTCATTTTCTTGCTGTAGCTGTTAGCTAAGTTGCATGCAGCAGTCTTCTCTGCTAGCTAAGTTGCATGCAACAATTTTCTCCAGAGAACACTGATTTTTGCTGCAGCATCTTTTGCCCAAGGGAAGGGGACAGAATGCAGCAGTACAAGACACATAAGAAGGTAGTGCTCTGTGGGAGTCACTTCTCTTTGAATCCTCAACTGCTCTATGTCCAGAAACGAGAGGATTTCCTTGACATGCTGATACTTCAGCCACAGCTTTGGAAAGTCTTTGGATGATCATTTCCAAGGGATTCACCAACATCACCAAGGGCCTGAGGGGACCCACACCTCTGATGTATGAAAGTCTCCTAAATCACTCACCCTCACTCTTCTCCACCTCATTGTAGCGCTGGATGAACTTGCGTTTCCTCTCTGCAGTCTGAGCTCCCATGGGCTTTGACAAGTCCCGAAACGTATGAGGATTAGTAAGGTTTAGAGTCTGAAAAGCAAAACACAGCAAAGGTGGGGTCTAATAATCCCTGGAGGCTCAATCATCACAACTAACTCAGTGACACTGACTGAGGCAAGGCTGCGCTAGGAGTTTCATCTACTCAGGAAGGCCACAGATTCAGTGCTAACAATGCATCCATTTCTAAAACTGGGAAGGGACTATGGTAACAAGAGTGGCAATGAGCGTCACTTAAAGGACAGAATGTTCAAGGAACTTCAAAAACCTGAATAAAGGATCCAGCAAGTTGCACACTGTTCTCAAGGGCTGCCCCTTGCAAGGGCTGCCCCTTGCAAAGCCTGCCTTGTCAGGAGTCCCAGACACCTGCCCCTGACTATCTGCTGAGTGGATGCAGCGGGCCCATAACTAGGAGTGTATTTAATTGATGTTCATCCACCTTACTGAGGCAGAAGGTGTCTCAGCATCCTGACTTGAAGGCAAGGTTATTCTATAAAGGATCAGTCTGGTTCAAACTATATCAATTTTTGAATCTTAGATCTAGACCCCTCTGCTTCAGTGCCATCACTGAACAAGCCTATATATGGTTACTGTCATAGAAAGCAGAGAATACTGCTAAGTAGCAAGCACTAACCTGGGAGTGATAGTCAGCAAGGACCCACGGAAACACAGGATACTGCATGTAGTCATTGTAGCTGCGGCCAGCCAGTGTGTTCAGGTACATGAGGTAATCAAAATTACTGATCTCCCTCTTCTGCCAAAACAAGGAAAGAAAGATTAAAGCTTCCTAACTTCGCTCCTGCAAATCACGTCTCAAAGTCACCCTCAGAGCTCCGTGCTTCCCTTGTTCACCAGGGCAGGAATTACAAACAGTGTAATGAGTCAGCCATTGCCATTCACATCAGCATAATATTTCTTGTACAATAATCCATTCATGAGAATCTCAGTCGTCTTTTTTGGCTCCTCTTCAAACAGGCCATTTGCATTTGTCTATAATCGCCCAGTGCTTTTATATTGCATTTGCATAAAAGAGCGTTTTCTCCCAATTTAAGAGTGAGCAAAATGCATGCAAATTGGTATTGGCATATCCTGGACAACAGCCTGTAGGGAACAGCTGCACCAAGTGTTACATATAAACATGAGGGAATAGATTTCTTCAATGTGTCTGGGGCCAACAAATCAGGGATACAGGGAGGTAAGTGCAATGGATCTCAGCTCAGCATGACATCTGGGAAATCAGAAGCGGAGCACTGATTTACACGGACAGATGATCTGTGACTAGAGTCATTCAACTAGGTGATCTTCTTTGGGATCAGCTTAAAAATGGGCATAAGATCACACTTGATCTGCCAGACAGCAGCATCATATGTTTCACAGTAGGAGGAGGAGAAACTTCTGCAATAACAAGATGAAAATACTCCTCTATTGGCTCCTCTTGCCAATATCCTCACCTCTAGCAGTGAGAGAATTGCTTAGGCCTTGAAGCGCACGCACACACACAATCTGTGTGCAGACACACAGGTGCCAAATTTATTCTCTTTTCCATATAGAGCCAAGACTTAGTTTACCTGCCACTTCTGGAGCATTGTCTTTTCCCCTCCTGTGTGTTTCCTGTATGGAATAAACATTTCATTGAAATAATCTGCTTCAGAACAATAAGAGAGAGAGTCAACACACTAGTTTTCTGTGCAATGCTCCCCTGGTTCTCATCCTTCAGAAACAAAAGATGGCCTACACTGGGAGAATATTAAGGTTTCATCGTGGACCAAATCATTCCAAAATCAGAGAGTGTCAGTGGTTACGTTAGCGCTAGAGGATACAAGTTTCATTACCTCTTTCAGTAGGAAGCAAGAGATTACGTGATGAGCAGGGATGGTGAATGAAATTATTGCAGTCAGTCACTCCATCTATACTACCTGGAGGTCTGAGCTGCTTGCCAATCTCCTCCACCTAAAGCATGATATTTAATAAAGGAAAAAAGAAGGGGGGAGGGGGGGGAAGGTTGGGAGGATGGATTCTGCTTGCCTTAAGACCTTAAGAAACTGCTGCAAACTGTGGTGGTGAAGCCACATGGTCATCTGCAACATTTCAGAAGCTGACCAACAGGCAGACAAGAGACCTGTGCAGCAGAGGCAGCTGGGACAGCAACCTTCTCAGCTGCTCCACTCTAAGCCATGCTGCTCATCAGTTAGTGCTCCCACTCTCATCCCACTGTAGACCTGGAGTGCTAGTGACAGGTACCATTAAGGCAATCTATTTCTATTCTGAAGCCTTATTCTCAAAGGCTTGCACTTTTCTGAAGCTTGGTGAAAATACTGGCTTGAAAACAGAAGCCTCAGTCTCGAGACATATCAAAGATATTATTTTTGCATGAAGTGCTTTGAAACTAATTTGGTTCCAAAAAGTGGGTTGTCATTTTCATGTAATTTTTTTTAAATAATAGGGTAAATACATTTTTCCACTTTCTCAAAACGCAGAGCAACTTTTACTAAGATTTTAAATGAAAAAACAAGCCAGCTGAAGACAGATTCCACATAGGGAAATTGGCTTGAAAATGTGAACATGCCAAAGGTTCTGAGCAAATAAAAGCAACATTTTGACTAGACTGAACTCGAAGGTGTGCCAGTATCTGTAATTCTGTAAACCGTGGACTTGCTCTTGTCAATTCCAACAGACTGAACTGAGACAAATGACAGCTTCTGGATTAAAGAAATTTTTGATCTGCCAAAATTAACAGAGTTACTGATATGGTAAGATATAAGTGGTTGCAGGGGATGCTTTTCCTTTCAAGTGTCTGGCTTCAAACTAACTCTAAGGTGCCAGTTCAGAGACAGGGTTTCTAACTTCCTGAAGCGAAGAGAGATCTGTTTGGCCATGGACTATAAAACTGCTACAGGAATAACTAGCTGCAGTCTTGTGCTCTGTACTGGATCACACTAGAAAACCACAAAGCTAGTCTTAAAGCAGCCTCAAAGACCTAAATGGTCTAGGACCACTACAGATTTGCCATACTACTAATTTGCCATAGTAAATTATTGTAAACTAACTCTTATGATTATCTATCATTATTTTACTGCCTATTCACTCCTTGATCACTTAACAGTGTACATTAAGGATAAGCACTAATGGTATAGGTAGCACAGTATTTTATTCCTTGCTTAGACCCCCTCTTCAGAAAAGAGTATGTCTCTGAGGGAGGGATTGTGCAGTCTAGGGAAAAAATCTACTTCACGAACAAACAGTAAAACCCAGGAACAATTCTGTCTCATGGCCTACAACTCTTTGCTTACTTCTCCTGGCTAAGTATATGAGAGGTAACAATTATGATTTTAGCAACCAGGTAACACATAAAACTGTCATTCATATCTGACATGGGAAGATGGCATCTTGACTCTTTGTCCTAAAAATCAATTGATTAGATGATACTTTCAGTTGCATAACGTAAATCAGGAGAAAGTCCATTGAATAGAATGCAATTAGAGTGGCTTTACACCCCAGTTTTTGAGCCACACGTGGCTCAAGAACACAGAAATTCCAAAGTGGAAACTGTGGATACCATGAGCACTTACTCTTTGCAATACCGCTCCTCTCATCCTAAACGTAGATTCCATGGAGCTTTGCCCCACTGGCCTTCCTAAAGTCTCAGACATTTGCAACTCATACAGGGTATCTCGAATGGAAGGAGCAGCATTCCTGGTGTTGATTGAAGTGTGCTTAGATTAGGGCGTTTGTCACAGAGGGATCAGATTCCTCCCTTTCCACTGGGGCTGACAGACTCCTAAAATTAACATGGGTTGTTTTTGTATTTGTGATAGGTTAGTAGGTAGGGAGTTATGAAATGTATAAACCTGTTCAATCCATCAGCTCTCTAATATTTTAAAACGGGAGCATTTTAAAGGATAGAATTAAAAAAATACACACAGGACTAAACTGACCCAGTCTGTGTGTATGTTATGTGAATACACAAGATATATTGAATTGGGTGTGCTATTATGCTCTATCGGAACTTTTCCTGTTTGTCAAAAGCCTGAAACTGCTAGGGAGGTCCTCTCCAAGGGCTGAAACAATCCTCATTCTTCTGACTTTGGAAGCCACTATGTAACTCAAAGAGGTTGATGAGTTCACCGTGTCGTGATAACGTACAAGGATAAATGCAGTCATACCTCTCTAAAAGCCATCCTTCTGTTTCTCAGGGCACCAGGCAGGATGTCCCCTCCAAGGCCCCAGAGATCTGGAATTCTGCATTCTCCCTTGTCACCTCACAGGAGCTCAGAACATTAACCACACTACAGGCAGCTCAAGCCTATTTCTCCCTTTTCCCAGGCAATCTTTAATCAATGAACATTTCTCCAGCCAACACTTCTCTAGCCAGCACAGCAAAAGCTCAAAGCGTATCAACAACTGCAGCTATACAACATCAGTAAGTGCACCAAAAAAAAAAAAAAAAAAGGCTCACTGGAAAAAGAAAAGGGAAAAGTACTTTATAAATGTAAATGACTAAACTTCAAGAGGGGGTGCGGCTGTACAAATCCAAGAGAAGTACTTAGGCATCTATCTACTGTAAGGTATTTTTAGGGTGCTAGCCATGACACAGTCTAAGCATGATGTGCACTAATGATGACCCACCTTTAGCTACACTACACATAAGTGATTTATGAATCTTCTCTCTTCCATTATCATCAGACTATGATCTTACTCTTGTGATAGCCAGTGCTCTCTATTTGCTGGAGATAGGTGGACTTCAACCCATTTGGAGATTCGCTACATATAAGAGGATCTCAGAGGATAAGCTTTGCCCCCACTAAAATTAATATAAAATTTCAATGAACCTAATTGGGTTCTTAGATTTCACAATGCTGCTTTCTCTTTTTGTCTTCCGTTCTTCAGACATATTAAGCCTGCAAACCAGGGCCGAGATTCTCCTAAAACAATTTTTCTTAAAGAATCATTGCATTCGCAAAAAATATTATGAGGAAAATCCTCCTCATGGTAAGCCACAAGCCAGGTTCAAACTCTACCGTTAAACAAGGAAAGCAGAGGTCAAGCAGAATGTCAGCCTTCCTTGTGAAGCTCTACAGTCTCTCTCAGACCTCAGGAAATTATCAGATTACTTTTGAGCAAAGGCGCAGGGTCCTTCTTGTTTGAACATACCAGTTTACCTTCCTCAGGTGTTCTTACACTATGCTTCAAGGACAGAGACATAACAACAACATATAAATAAGAATAATGCTAAAGTAGGACCGTACCATGGACATGGTCCATACCTTGTCCTCTCTCCAACTGAGGAACACTACTGCTACATTTCTGTAGGACCCTGTACAAATCATTAGTGTACTTCATTTTAATTCCCAACACAAAGGTTGATAGCATTGTCATACCTCACAACAATGCTCTGAGCTTCATCAGCTTTGTTCAGATCAAATGGCCGCACCCGAACAGGGGAGAAAGAAAGGAATCCCCCACACTTACAGAACACTGTTTGCACCACATGTATTTTCAGGCTTAAATCAGACAAGGGGATAACTTTTTCATTTCACAGCACCCAGACACAATTTAGGTGGTAAAAGAAAAATACCATGTAAATTCAGTTCATTGCTTGAAGTGGGCAGAGCCTCATCTCCAGCTCTGGAATCAGGCAAGCACTTCAGCATTATTGCCCTCTTTAGGTCAATAATATCCTGGACTAGTTGATGGCAAGAGAGGGACCTCAACGTTGTATCGTCTAAGAACAACAATACCTGCCTCAGAACACACAGCTATTTCCCTTCAGTGTTTTTTTTTTTGTTTGTTTTGAAATTATTGCAGCCAGTTACTAAAGGCATAAAGCTTGGTAGCCATAGCCATAGAGATGAATTCCAGTAAATTCACATGGTAGGACAGAAAACTATCTCCCAGAGAGACAGAGCAACAGAAACCAATGGCACTTTTGGAGGATCAGATAGATGAATACAAACTGCAGCTCACACCCTCTGCTGCACTGTTGAATGAACCTTTCCTCCTGTGTCCATATCCATCCAAGCTGGTTCAGGCTAAGAAGGATTATATCATTAAATGTTGTGGCATCTAACATACACATGCAAGTATCTGACACTGCCTTACAGCCAAGTAAAATGAAATAATTAAATGAAATAATGATTAAAATGGACAGCTAAGGCAACAAACAGCTTCTGATAAGGTCTAAATGCTTTTTCTCTCTGCATAAATTGAAAGCTAACACTTGCAGGAACTGCATGCAGTTCCGTTTGTTTCCCTCCCGCCTGAACTTGTATGCTGGAACCAAATATTATGCTAATGATCTCCAAGGACCTAGGATTCCTGTTGCTTAGGAACAAAAGTTTCACAGGCTGCGGAAGGAGAGTTGAACAGAGAGGCATTGTAGCTGAGGAAGTCCTTTTTAGCACTCCTTTTCTCCTACACAGGCACTCACATTCACAATAGTTTCTTGAAGGGCTGCCATTTTCTTTCAAGGAAGAATGTACCGGTCTGTGAAAAGGAAATCGTCCAATACTCCCCCTGCTTACAGGGGTTTGTTTACAAACGGAAAGACTAACACATTACTCAAAGGAGAGAAGACAGAGGGAGACTGCACAGTAACAGACCATGGAGGCTCATTCCACACTCCTGAAAAAACAAGCAGCTTGTGACATCTGTACCTCGGCTTTTAAGTCTTCCTAGCTGCTAGCCGGTAAGATCTTATGCAGGGGGAGAGCCCCACAGAATTGCTTAGATGAAATACTATTTTTGTCTATTCTTGGTGGGCATCAGTTTATAAGTGACTCTGCACTATGTGAGCATAGTGGCTTTGAAGTGATCTAGAAAAGTAAGAAAATTAAGGAAGGAGACTTCTCAGTATCTAGTTGCTCATGGCAGGATTTAGTTTAAATCAGCCTGTTAGCAAGAGACTGCATTTCAGAAAGTCAGTGAATTAATCTCTCTTTCATAATAGGTGGTATCCAACAACAAAGAAATCGTAACAGGCTTGTGAACAGGGAAATAAAATTCTACCCTAGCTGGAAGTGCTTTGCTTCATGGAAAATCATTAGTGGTATCAAAACCTGTTTTAAGATGCACATCTGTTCCTATAAAGGCATCCCATATGTGAATCAGAACATAACCCAGAGAAGTACAGAGCATGTGTAGCTCCACTGGAAAGGGCAAGCCCGCTCTGCAACAGACAGGAAAGGTGTGCCTGTGGCTTCAGGAATACTGCTGCCTGTCATTTCATGTCCACTCCTCAGAGCACATCCTCAGGGCCAATGCTGTCTTAACAAATCTCAGGTGAAATCAGCGCAGAAAGCAAATAGCAGGGTTCAGAATAAAGGCAGAGCAGAGTTCAGAATAAAGGCAGAGCAGAGGGAAAGGCAGCAAGGGAGCAAGAATTAATCCATACAACTTCCAAGAGGAAAAACAAAGGAAACTTTTTTCACCAGTCTAGTTCAAGATGGGATCAGATGGTTCCATCTAGCTTGTGGAGCATGGAGAACCACTGGGAAGGAGATCCTGAGACACCCAAATGGTACTACGGGCAGAAGGCCTGTTCTCTTCCTGCCAGCGCTATGCAGAGAAAGGAGGAAGAAAAGTTCAGGCAGAAGAGACTGCATCAAGGTCAAAATCCATGTTTTTCTGGAACCTAAGCTACTGCGGGTCATGACAGGTCCTTGCGCAACAGCGTAAGTGCACATAAGGAGTAATCTCCAATCCCTCCTTGCTTCAAAGAGACACTGACGGTCCTAGTCCTGATGCTTAAGGATCTGTTCCCTTCCTGCAGTGTTCAGTGACAAACAGCACCAGAGACCTAGATTTTCTATCCTTTTCTGTATCAGGTCAGCCTCAAAGCTCTGTGCTTATGAAATGCTCCTAGAGCTCTAGTTAAGTCTGGGCTTTTAAAAGCCCAATCCAGACCAAAGGTTTTACCAAGTGTGGATAAAAGAGCTTCTAAAAGACAGGTTTCTAGTCAAAGTCCTCCTTAGCAAGACTTTATCATCTAGTAATGCAGCACCCCCACCCTTGGGCAAAGGTTCACCACCAACTCAGAGGCTGAACCTAGGTGGGAGTATTTGAGAAAATAGGTAGAGAGAGCTCCCTCTTGGCATCATCATTCCTCAGGTAATGGGGTACACCTGTACCTCTCCCTCTGCTAGCCCAGGAGATGCATTGTGAGCATGAGATCAAACAGGTATAATTAACATTTACAGCAAGGAGGCTCCGTGGATTCCTGAATTTTTAGTTTCAGTAGCTACAGAACTGGAGCCCTCTTATGCGGAGCTGAAGAAAATGAGACACAGCTAAGTAAGCTCCATTATCTCCAGCTATAGCCTTGTGAAACACTGACAGTTAGTTTACAAGCATGCAGAGACAAGAGACCTATTCATTCCCTTTGAGTTGTCTGGTGTGCTGCAGTGTTTCCCACTCCCAACGCTCACCCTCAACTCCAGGCGTGGAAGTGACCTTCTTTGTAAGTTTGAAACCTGCCTCCCACTTTTAACCCAAAGGAAATAGTATTTGGAAAATGTGAGCATTCCCTAGGGACCCATGTTTTCCTGGTCAGTGCATTTTAGAGGTCCAAGGCTAGGATTTTTAAAAATCTAACTTAAGAGAGAGCTGGCCTTACCTTCAGGTGGTTAAATCTCTTTCAAGTCTGGGCATTATACAGTGCATCATACAAAGAGGTCTGTGTTATTCAGGTCTACGTTATTCTGCTGTCTTCAAGGAAATTAAGCTGATCTGTTTGCTTGGATTTCTTAAACCTCTGAAAATCCCAGCTTCAAGCTGTGCAACAACTCAGCAGAGGCCATTGACAGGGAAGTACCCAAAAGGTTAAATTGTCCTGTTATTCCTCAACCAGTGTTCGGCATGCAGCCTTCAACCTTCTACACCAGGCTCCCTCTAGCGTTCCCAGGAACAGATAGCACAAAGTAACACCAGCATTGGGAACCAGCATCAACAGAGAGCTGATTTTTGGCTACCTAGCATTTTTGGATCAAACCAGAGCAACCTTTTTCCCCCTGCATTTTCAATGAAAAGTTAAAGAAAAAAATACTAGGTGTTGAACAAACTGTTTTCTTTCTGAGAGTCTTAAGGATGTCTTATCTTATTTTTGAGCTTAAAAAAAGTAATTATTTTTCTTTGAGGCCCCCTCCTTCACTGACCAAAACACATTGAACTTTTTGGTCAACTTGCTCAACCAGAAAAACAAAGTTCACACAAGAAAAACGTTAGACCCAAAAGTCACCAGTTCACTTCAATTGCTAGAAGTAGGAGGCCCAGAAAGTCTCCTTCCATCCTGCTAAAGCGTTAGGCAGTTCCCTTGCAGGTCTACTTCTTTTGTAGCACGTTAGCTACTCTCTGTTTCCCAGTAAGGGGCTTGGAGCATCCCGTATTAGAAGGGCTCTAGCAGCTCCCACGTGGCTGACCTTTACCTTCACAGAACTGCCAACAGGAATTTTGCATCAGCTCCTTAAGATAACAGAGAATTCAGTTAAACAAACAAACAAAACAAAAAAATTCCATTGTTTTGATCTCCAGAACTTCCTGCACAATCCTGGACAAATTATATGAGCTAACATCCATATGGATAGAGAATTGCTTAATTTTCCACCATCGAGTGCTTCTCTGCCTCAATTCCCCAGCTGCTCTATGGAGAGAAAAGCATGGCTAACGCTCCTGGGGCACTGTAAGGATAAACACAGTAAAGAGTGAGAGGCCTTCAGATATTACAGTGATATGGCCCTCTAAGTACTGGAAAGAGAAAAATGTGGAAGTGACATAGAAAGATTTCACTGTGTTTAAATACTTTTTATAAAAAAAAAAAAAAAAAAAAAAAGAAAGATTGAATTTTGGAACAGAGACTCAGGGGCTGGTTTCAGTAAAACTGACCCCTTGCCATGCTGCTTCCAGGACTTCCTGAAGCATCTGCCTCATTACAGAAGCCTCCAGGAGGGCAGGGGGTAACTGGCACACATACCCCTTGCTGTTGCATTATTTTTGGCTATGGCATGTAATGGAAAAGCTGAAATGCCTTATCTGTAGCCTGAGCTTCCCCTTCATGTACTTGCACATGATTAATGAGTAGCTAAAAAGCCTGAAGGGTTTGTAACGAGGCTTTTCTAATAGAGAAGTGTACTGTAGACAAATCCGTATTTTGTCCCAAACAATCATTCATCAAAGCTGTGATTTGACTGTTCACAATTAAATGCCAGCGTGCTCGGACCATCCAGAGATTAGCCAGCTGTAACCCATGCTCCTCTCTGCTCTCTGGCTGTGACAGACATTGTCATCCATTTCCAGGAAATCAGCTTATTTCCTTTGTCACTAGTCATAACTATGAGCTGTATTTGCTGACCTTTAATATTAGGGACAGTTTCCCCAATCCTGAGATTACAGTGAACTAGTACTCATATAGGCCTCAATTCAACCAAGTACCTAGCACATGCTTAGCACCAGAATGAGTCAAAAGTCTGACCAGAGCACCTAAACATGTGTTTCGAGGGCAAGGCCCCATCCATCGGTCCCAAAGCATGTGTGGAAACACAGCACAAGGGTATCCAGAGTGTGTCCTTGAATGCACAGGAGACGCCGACCAAGTCACGGTTTTACAGACCATTAAGCAGCATAACACTGACAGCCTGTTGCAGTCAGCCCTGCAGGCAACGTGTGGACTGTAAGCAGGTCTGGTAAATCTGGGAGCCCACCATGTTTCTGAGGTCCTAGTTCAAACAAAACTCTTTAATTGCTTGCTTTAAATATTTAACTGTTTTTTTTCCCCAGTAGCGTCCAGAGCCCAAATCCTAGGTCTATGAAACAGGATGTTTAACCAACCTATTTGCAGATGCCAGGTCTGTACAGAAAGCAGCCTGCTGATCTGGTAGAATGAGAACAATTTTGGATGGCTCATCTTAGTACAGTCCTAAGGACTGGATTGAGACCCACAATACATTTCATTCAGGTCCTCAAACAGCTAATGGATGATAACACATTTCATTTAGTTTGATTACATGCTGGGCTCCAACCAGTATCTAGAGAGGAAAGACAACAAATTTCTCCTACTTGTAATACTTGTAATTTTACCTTGTAATACTTGCATTGCACTGTAATACACTATTATTTTACTGTGTTATAACACTTACAATGTAGATTATCATAATTTCACTACCTCAAAATACTTCCGGGAAGAGTTACAGTTCCAGGGCTAAAAAGTCCTGACCCAGAAAAAATGACTTCTCAAAAGTCCAGTGGTCACTCATTAATTCCTGATCAAGTCATTATTTTGTTTTGAATTAGGGAGTAACAGCCACTGCTTTCAAAGGCTTCATAATCTGGCACGTGTGTGTGTCCCTCAGTGGAGAAATGGCGAAGGGGAAAGCAAAAGGCCAAAAAGGGAAAAGGATCACCTTGAAAGCTGCCAAAAATTCCATCAGGATCACTTTTGATGGAAGGCGCCGTCTTGACTTAAGCAAGATGGGGATCACCACCTTTCCCAAATGCATTCTGAAACTGGCTGATGTTGATGAACTTGATCTGAGCAGAAACATGTTAAAAAAGATCCCAGACAGCATACAGAAGTTCCAGAAACTGCGCTGGCTGGACCTGCACAGTAACCAGCTTGAGGAGCTGCCCGAGGCAATAGGCATGCTCCAGAACCTCGTCTATCTGAACGTAAGCAACAACAAGTTGACCACCAAAAACCTGCCAGTGGAACTGAACCTCCTCAAGAACCTGCGCACTCTAAACCTTGGCTTGAACCGCCTTGACAACATCCCCACCACCCTTGGGGCCCTGAAGGAACTTAAGGAGGTAAGTCTCTTTGACAACTTCTTGACTGCCATCCCAACCAGTGTGACAAAGCTCCCCAAACTCAAGAAACTGAATGTGAAGCGAAACCCTTTTCCTGATCCTACACAAGAAGAGCATGTTGACTCCATAAAACGCATAGAAACTCTTTACTTAGTGCAAGAGAAAGACCTGTGCTGTTCCTGCCTGAAGATGTGTCAGGATGAAAGGGACAAGCTGAACAAGTTAAAGAACATGATACCCAGCTCCTCAAAGAAGCCGAATTTCCCTTCCCTCCTTACGCCCAATTCCACTGCAAAGGATAACCAAGAACAATGGAGATAAGACGCTAACATCCCTGGTATCTACCAAGGCACTCTGCAGACCAGTCCTGTAAAATCCAGTCCAAGCTAATAAACAGCTGCCCTCCTTCTGCTTCCCTTTTCCTGCAGTTCTCTTCATTTAAAGACTTGCTCAGTTTTAGGAGCAGCAGATCTGCGTGATCTCTAAAACTAAACCCAAAACTATTGAAACAGATGTATACTTGGGAAAAGATGCATCAGAAGGACTATTCCCTAGCATCTAGGCCTGTTCCTACAACACTTTTTGTGGTTTTCTTAGTCTCAGGTGTGGGCACACGCGTGACTATAAAACACAGTGAACATATCCACTGAAGGGATCTTCTAAAAGCTGTGTTTTTCTAGTAACTCCACTGCTACCACTGAGCTCCACACATTAGTCTCTCATTTTCATAGGGTGAGACGCAACAAAACTAGTCTCAGTGAATACCGTTGGGAGGAAAAGGAACAGACGCTCAGGACTGGCTCAGAGAATCTCAGATAGGTGCCATCGGTGTAGGAACCACGAATCAGTTCCAGTTCATCACAGGCAGCAGTCATAAATGCACTCTCACGTAGGGCTGTTAGGCATAGCAATAACTAAGCAGTGCAATTGCAATGCGCAGAGCTAAACAACTGATGCTCCTGGTTGCTATCAAATATGCTATCACTCTGCATAAGCAAGTTCTAGGGGACTCAGGGGCACGCAGGGCACCACTGTACCTGGGTGTGGTGTTCTCTGAAGTGCACAGCAAGACCGGGACCCCTACCTGTCCTGATAGCATTTTCCCTGCTTCTCAGTATTCCTTCAAAGAAGGTGAACAGGGGAAGAGGGGAAGGAGAAAATTGCTCTTTTGAAGGTTCCTGAGCATATCACTGAGGCAGTGGCTTCCTGTCCCTAATCTCCTCCTTCCAAGACCCAAGTGTCAGCTAGTGAATTGATGATATCAAGTCAAGGGTCCCCACTGTATTTTTAGCTATCTACTTGTACGCATGCATGCACATGTGCGCACCTGAGTGTGCACATTCACTTGCTCAAATCACACCCCTAGAGCAGAGAGTGCTCACAGGCTGGAGACAACAATATACAGATGCAAGCAACAAATCAAAGCAGCCAAGCATGACGCAAGAAGAGGTGCTGGCTGTGGCCGCAGCAACATATGGTGATGGCAGAGATTTAAGTGTATTTAAATGAAGAGCAAAATGCCAGGGGTGAAGCACTCAGCTGTCCAGTAACAGCCCATTATCATTTTTAAATGGCTACGGCAGAGACTGGGAGTCAGAACTCCTGCGTTTTATTCCCAGTGACCAGGAGGAAAAATTGATATGGGGTTTCCCAGAAATGCTATTTCATATCATATGCTACACTGAACAAATCACCTCCTCTTTCCATATCTCAGCTTTGTAGTTCTCAGTGCCGTGTCTGGGCAAAGACCTTAGTCTGGCCTGCCTCCTTGGCTCAGCTAGGGCAGGAAGAGCTGAGATGTTATGAGAGACAGGCATTGCTCCCTAGGTGGGGAAGCAGCCCCTTGTGTTGCCCTTGAATTCTCCTGACTCAGAAGTGGTTCCACAGCATGCAAACAGGGACAAAGTAAACTCATCAGGTTCTCAGTCCTTCAGTTCCCAGAGCGGAGCGTGGTAAAGGGAAGCACGTCACCCAAAACTACTGAACGTACCAGTTAGGTATTTAGGGCATTCATCAGACCTCCAACTTGAAAAGAGTTAGTTATGCAAGTAACTCATGGTTAGCATAGAACATGCTCTCAGTCACATCCCACTTGCTGGAAGAAAGCTTGCTTTTTCCTGCAGTGGTAAATGTGAGTGACAACGAGTTGGAATCTCTACTGCACAGATACTATAAACAGTGCCAAAAAGTCCGTATGTGCGTATCTGTCACTGTCTGCTCTAATCACGCACTAAAGAGGCCATTACACAGATGCATTATGGATTAACTCTCTAACCTCACCTCACTGACTGTTTCTTTCCCACACTAACCGTGTATATAGAGTTTGCCAATAAAGTCATACTGAGGAAGTAATAATTAGTAATCAACTGTGTGCAGTCAGCTATATAACACATTCCTCATTTCTTCATATTGAGGATGCTGTACAACAGAATGCTTTTCAGAATTTTGGGGATACTTCTGAATCTTTAAAATAGGGGGTACAAATAGGTAAGAGTTTCTAGAAGCTTTTTTAAAAGTACAAACTATTCATACAATTACAGTTTTTATCTACAGATATCCAACGTTTCCTGTGTTTTACCTTATATTCAGGGACTCTTCTGTTATGCCCTTGGACTTCAAAGCAGGTTGGAAAGAACAAAATCTGAAGGAGATACAAAAGAAAACATTACAATCATTTACATGGTTATCCTGTACTATTGCACATTACGTATGTATACAATTTTATATATGCATATAATCTATTAGATAATCTATGTCATGTCCTGACAGCAACGTCCCTCCTGATTGACACCAAAGGATTTCACACCAGGGCAAAGCTGCAAGACAATGCAGCAAAAACAGATATTTAAGAAAGTGCCCACAGGCTGGATAAAAGCAATTTCTTTCCTGAATAGGGCCTTGAATTAATATATAGGGCTGTGACTTCTTGATCTGCAGTAAGGAAAAAAAAATGCAACAAAATAAAGTGCAAATTATTCACTTTATAGTCTTGTATACAAATTCCATCAAACAAGACAAGCACATATGAAATGAATTCCTTCCTAGATTAAAAAAAGTCCTAGTTAAATCCATGCTAAAGATACAAAGTCAGGACCAGAGAGCCAAAATCAGTTTATTCCTAAAGCATTTAATGTCACTTCATGTTTTGGAAGAAAGAAGGAAGAAACCTTTCTTCACACAGTACTGTAAAAGTGAGGTGAAGGCAGCTCACTGATCACAATGAGAAAAAAAAGGGCTACACAGCTGGAGCTGCAATTCCCTGGGATGCAAGGACATACAACACACCACTGGATGCTACAACAGTCATAGAGATGCATTAGCTCCCCTGCCAAATAACGGCTATATAACCCTCCAAAGAATTTACAGCTAAGCAAAAGGAAAGTTTCATAGGTTTGGCTTAAGCATAACCCATTGTAGAAAGAGCCCCTGGGGAAGTACAAGGAAGACATCTAAGACATCTGAAGCCAGGATAAACAAGGTAGTAGACCAGCAGCGTGACCTAGGTGCTTACTTGGTATTAAGAAGTAGCCATTACCTCTTAAACATCTTATTTCGGTCGCTGTCATGGAAGACAAGAAACTTTGAGTAACCATTTCTGAAGAATATTTCCAAGGCAATCTCCTGGAAAGGGAAATAATTTACAGTGTGAGGATCTGTAGAGCAAAACCTGGTACTGCAAGGAGATCATCACTGTCTGCCCAATGCTTCAGGGCTTTATATACAAAGGCCTTGACTTTGTAGCAACCGTGAAGAGTCCACTCAGCACTCTTTGCAGGAAACGGGCCTAACATTCCCATTTCTCATACTGTAGGAATGGTCCTGTTGGGTTGACTAGGAGTTCAAATACTTTTCTGATGCAAAACCAAACTCCAGATGTTGGTCCCATCACCCACCACCTCCTGCCTCTTCTGATGTTTTTTTGCATTGAAATCTCAGTGTCATTTACAAGACACTAGTCACATTAGATTCTAAGTAGGTGAGAAAGCTAATGACACGAAGAGGGGACAATAAATGATGTAATTTTTACAAAGCAACCACCCTTCTTTTTAAATGAATACTGAGCGCTACAGAAACGCCACAACCATTTCTTCTGACTAGGAGAAGTGGAGGAAGAAGAGGAGTTTATGACATTTCTCACTGAAGCTCTAAATAATCAAAGCTGAAACATTTACCCCCTTTTCCCATCACTTCTCCCACACTGTTATGTTGGGCGTCTACATATAATCCTATTATTTACCCAGTGATCAGTTCTTTTTTGCCAAAGGCAGTCAAGTGAAAAAAACTATAAAAGATTTGTAGTGCCAAGGAACCCAGACATGAGTTGCAATCCAAGCATGGCAGATGCAATACAAACCTAGTAGAATAACAATGGCAACTGCCCCACAAGATTCACAAGCACAACATAAAGCAGAGAGGTGATATGAGAGCAGCTATGGCAATAAATAGCTTGCAGAATTTGCTCTGAAGCTTGGCTTTCCAAACCAAGTCTGCTCAGATGCTGCCATTACAGAACCAGGATGTGTGGTATCACAGAACTCTGCTCTGAGCTGGGCTACGTGCATGAACAGGAGATCAATAGGTCCTTTCAAAGACAATTTTTACTCATCTCAATTTTTTCACTTTGGGATACACAAAACATTCCATTTCACTTGTTTTAAGAAAATGGGTGTGTGTACCCATACACACACACACAAATATATGAACAGTGGCAAGATTCCACGGCCAACTTTGACGACCTCCACAACACTGAGCAAGAGGAAGAGGTGACAGTTCTGTTGCTCAGGCTGCTTATTGGTGATGTGAGAAAATAAGCTTCATGCATTGACTCAGAGCAGGCCTTAAGACTCCTAAGTAGTTGGAGACTGCTCTAACCACTGGAACATACTATATTCTGAAGTAGGTCTTATCTCCTAAAACTGTCCATTTTGCACATATAATTAAATATAAGATAAAACAGAGCTGAGTCGCAAATGACTGCCACACTACATGACATAAGAGCATCATCAGCATAATCTTCTCCACCTTTTGAATTTTATGAATGATTTCTTAATTCTCTGTTGAATCTCAGCCTTCCAAAAATAGATTCTACCTAACAGGTAAAAGTTATGGCTGCTTCAAAATTCCATATTTTTGTCAAACAAAATCTGCAAGTTATTTTTTACCCTATACCAAAATGTTCTAGAACAAGTACAGGCTCTAGTGCTGCAAGGAGCTCCTCCTACAACTCTTCTGTGATTCTCCTCATAGGATTGTCTAAATCAGACAAAGCTAAATAGGTCCAGGGTCACTGCTAACAACTAGCTTTTGGGTAGTGCAGGAGAAAATACAGAGGACTCAAATCCTCTACTCAAACTTACGATTCACAATTGACCCACAGGCACAACCTGGAAGTTATTTCAAAAGACTCAGGGTAAACAGGTTACACATATCTATAGTCCGCTGACATCTATATCTACTGAAGTCTGTGGGAGCTGAGTATTACTGGAAACCAAATACCTGCTGGGAGCTTTGACCAAAACATAGGAAATTGACTCGAAGACTTATTTTCAAAAACACTGAGATAGACTAATGACGTTCTTCACGGTTTTACAACTAATGAGCCAACCACTCCAGAGAGGATGCTTAAACACTCTGATGAATACAGGAAGGAGTTTGTATTATTGAAGGCTAACGAAGCAGCAATGGGAGCAAAGCCATTTTGGGAAACGAGCAAAGAAATCTCAGTAGCCTAAGTAGAAATTGTGCAAGTAGTTCTCAGTCATGTCACAACTCCTGTTGCAGCTTTCACTCACATGACTGATGTTAGTTCCCACCTGCAGAAGAAAGCGCATCAAGTGAATCTCTTTTATGTCATGATATGAATAACGGGAACACCTCTGGTCTCCCACAGCATGATCTTTATGGCATAAGTTGAAGATGAATGGATCACTGATGCTGGAAAAGGAAAAAATAAAAGAAAAACAAATAAGTTTGAAAAGAAAAAGCATCAGGACCCCCCTCATGAACATGCACATCTTTTATAACTTTCTAAAGAACAATAAGAACACTAGGAGATCTGCAAGGTTGAATAATTAACTAATTAAGTAATAATTAAGCCATTAATTACTACTTTAGGTGAGTACATGTTCTCCAAGTGCTATCTACAGCCTAGCCTACAGCGAGCAAGTCCCTTAGAAAAACAACCAGTCCTCGTCCAACTGATCCTTAAGTCACCTGACCAGATTAACTGATACTGGATTTAGTAAGAATCGGATACAGAACAGACAGTCAGGGAGTAAAAACACTGAGTTACTCACTGTCCCACTGGGCTTTGCACATGAACACGCAGTAGGAGCAAAGAGCTAAGTCTGACAGACCCATTTTCAATATTGATCGATATCAATAAATCATGACTCAAAAATGAGAGCAGTGCCAAATATTAATTATGATTCTCTATGTCTTGGAGAAACAAACAAGAACTTATCAGCCAATGATCCGAAAGGCTCTTGTACAGTAATGACTGTTCCATATGAATAAAAGATGGGAGTCAGCCAGAAGGAAACATTAACTCTTTAAAAGAATTGGAAAAGCAGCAATGTATGTGTTGGACTGAGCCCATCATGTCCATGCGTTGGAGCTGAGAGTCCTTGCTGCCCCTCCAAAGCCCACGGACAGGCACCTACAGTTGTTTACACTAAACAGTTCCGCAAAGAGATGGAAAGGATTGCAGTGTTAATTATCCCTCTTGATATCTCCCAAAGTCTGTGTGAGTCCTAAGTTTGCATGTGCCAATACCAAAGTTAACCAAGCAGATCCCCGGGAAGAAAGAACGACTCACCTGGACAAGCAGTGTCGTGTACAGTACACCTCTTCCAGTGGGGATAACACAAAGCACTCACAGATGTAAAAGTGTGCTTTGCCAAAGAGCAGCACACCTTCCAATGCTGTGTGCCCCTGCACAATCGCCACGGAGCATTTGAACGTGACCTAGTATGGAAGCAGAAATATTGAAACCAGGAGTGGGTAACACAGGTGACACGGAGCAAGATGCAATGGTCCAGAAGGATCTATGTTCTGTACCGAAACAGCTGCCATCTTAACTGGCAGGTCTACAGGGATGCAGCCACAAAATAACCACGTGACTGGCAGTGCATGCTTCAGTGGTAGGGGGAGAGTCTCAGGCCGCCCTTCTTCCCCAGTTAATCTCTCCCTTCCCGAGCTACCCAGGGCTGTATAAAGCAACACCACCACAGAACCTGAGGAGCTTGCAAGCATTACAGAAGTTAGTACTACAAAACCCTTTAAGATAGCCAAGTGTGACCCCTAGTATATAAGCAGACAGTTGAAACACTGACAAAAGCAACAACTTGCACAGGATCATACAGAAAAGTAGGGGTGTAGCATGGAATAAACCTCAGCTCTCAGGAGGATGTTAGCTGCAAGTACTGATATCATAACAATAAGGCCTGCTATCATTAGCAAAAGCACCTCATAATGGTAAGTCTTTACATTTCATGGTGGTGAGATGCAAAAAGTTTCACATCTGCACAGCATCTCTCACACCATCCTGTCAGCTTGCATCATCCTTAAGTTAAAGGAAAAATCTCTGCTTTGGAAAACCATTGCAAACTTGCCTCCACATAGGACTTGGATGGTCATGACTTTTAAATGGTAACACTGGGGCATGTACAGACACATGTGCCATGCTCAGACACCAAGCAGCAATGTTTCTGGGACAAACAAAAGGAGGTTTCAAACAGCCATCTGTTTCAAATTTCTTCTTATCTCACACTTGGGATCAGCACTTTTCAGTGGAACTTCACATAAGCCTGGCGAATACCCAGTGGGATCTTCTGCCTCTGGCACAATGACTGAGCAGCCACACACTCAGTTCATTTAAATGGAAGTTTCTTCACATGGGAAGCTGTAGTTGTACATCCTGTTATAACAAATGCACACGCACACACACACGTGTGCGTGAATACACACGTATATATGTTTAGAATACAGAGAAAAGGCAAATACTTTCATCCAGATCCCAGTGAAATCTGCTTGAAAAATTCCTGCAAAAGGATTCTGGTGAGTAATAAACAAGGAAAGAATCTCATACTCCAAGTATTTATTTCATCATGGCCAGCTGGATCAACATACAATCAATGGAAATCTCAGTATACAATGGTTTAAATCTCAGTAACACCACGCTCCTTGCATTAGTACTTTTCTTTCCTGTATTATACAGGAGGCCAGTCAAAATATATGAATCTCTGATTCCAGTTATCTTAAAATAACGACTTAGCTAAACATTCTGGAATAGTTAAAAACCTTCCCTGGCATCCTAAGACTGAGCCTAGGTCCCATGTATTTTTTTCCTCCTCTTGAGCCAATTAACTCAGCCCTTAAACCAGAGCAATTTCTAACCTACAGGTAAAACATGCTGGGAATTTTTCAACAAAAATAGTTCTTCAGTGGTATATGCCAGTTCACAGAAAGTCTTCTTGAGAATTGAACAGTTCTGATAAAGAGAATAAAACCTTTCATCTGGAACAGTTTTGATGGCTGGGAGATGGGGTAGGAAGGAAACAGACCAATACGGAGACTAGAAAAGGCCACTGACTTGGACACTTGTCTGGGTTGTAGAAAACTAAAGCACAAAGTTCCGATTTTAAAATCAAATGGGAATTCATTGAAAAGAGTTGTCCTAACAGCTAGAGGCATGAACATACTCACTTTTCTTGTCTGTTTATTTAATCTTCCATTTATACAGAGCTGAGAAAGAGCTAACAGTCCAGTGGTTAGCGTAGTCAATTGGAAGGACTGAGGTCAACTTATTGCTGTGCCCAATCTGGACCAGGACTTTAAACCAGCATCTTCCATATCCCCAGTGAGGGAGACAGGAGCTAATCACCAGCCTATTAGCCCAGCCTGAGATAGAGCACATTCATTCTCTTCGCAAAAATCCCTTCAAACATTCATACTAATAGATGATGTTAACATTTCCAAAATTGTAAAATACTCCTTTACATACCAAAAAATTGCTTGCTGCCGAGCTCTTCCCTGCAAGTCACGACATTCCTAAGCTACATAAAATCCAGACGTGAGCATAAAATTTTGCAAGCTGAGTCCGTTCCAAATTGCAAGGACCAGAGCGGGAACATACAGAGGAACTAGATCTGAGAGGTGTTTACATGACAGCAGAAGTTTGGTGGTTCAGAAACCTTGAGTAATGTTCTAGGCAGAACTGAGTCACAGGTATGCAAAGTATCAGAAAGTCTATTATTCTCTTAAGACCTCAACGATTTTGACCATCCTCTGCAAATTTCTTAAGAACAGAAGCCCTGTATTACCTTATGCAAATACAAGAACGGTCCCAGAGTTAGCATTGGTTCTGGTAAATCATGTGAGAGTCCATCTTACCGTGATGAGGTTACAAAGAGTAGGTCTAGTTCTCCTGAGCCTGCATGTCTACTTTGCTTTCTGCCTTTGCTCCTACTTCACTTCATTTCTGGAAACAAACCCAAAATCTTCCTTGCCTCCACTCCAAAATGCACACAGGCTGATATAGGTCAGCTGAAACAGATCTGCACTGTTATGCAAGCTTTTAGTCTTGGATGTCAGAGCAACTTGGTGAAGCTATTATAAGTTTTTTTCTTTTTAGATTCAATTCAGAGTGAAAACTGTATGAAATGGGAACTCAGAAGGGTGATTATTATTTTGATCAATATTTAAAATGGAAATAAATATTAAATACCTTTATAAATAATTGAAATAAAATATTGTTTCTACATTTACAAATTCTTACTGAAAAGCAATCCTTTTCACGAACAAAATGGGGCTTTTATTTTAAAATCCAGTTGTGACGGATTGGGTGGGAACAAAAGGATGGTTTCACTGCAAATACAGAAAAAATCTTGAAGATTTCTAAGGGAAATTTTGAAAAAAAATCTCTCCTCTCTCCTCCCCTTTTCTCCAAATTATTTCTAGGAGGAAGCTAGCATTTTTCAGTCACCTCTCCTGCAGATCCCACGGGAATGCCTGTCTCTGCAGGGACACGCCAACCACAGAACTCTCTGAACTTGAGTGCCTGCACACCGTTGTGTGGTTAGAGATACGTATGCTTGCACTGAGAATACCGAGGAATTCTGCTCACATTAGCAAACCACAGGGCTTCCTGAAGTAATTAAATAGCAGAAAGATCGCTTCTTCCCAAATGGAAGGTAACTGAATGTTGAAACATCAGGCAGCTGTGCAGGATAGATAAATGGACACAGAAAGCTGAGATCCAGACCTCTTAAGAAATTTACCTAAGCAAATCCAGCATTCTGTTCTGCGTGAAAAAGCAGTTTACACAATTTAGCTCTTTAATTCCGGAAGCTTTTTTTATCATTTTGTTTGGTCGCACATATGGATAGCAGGGGCCTCTGGGCAGACAGAAGAAGGAAGGGAAAGATAAAAGCAAAGTGAATGAGAAGAAAGGAGATTCCTGAGTAGAGCTAGGCAGGTAAGTGTAGGTGAAGGAATGGGCAGGGAGGGACAGAGAGGCAGATCAAGAGGGGAGCAGGAAGGTGCTAAGAAAGATACAGCAGAGAAAAACACAGAAAGGCAGGTAGATGATGATCACAGACATGACTCAGTATGGAATATGAAGGGGGAAGAGCAAAAGAATAAAGCTCAGGAGCAGTCAGGTCAGTCTTAAAGCTGTACAGGAGTGGGACTAATACACCAATGAAACTAAAAGCTCTAGCGTGAATTCAGCTCTCCTGTATAACACTGTCCACAGCTTATGTCACTCTGAATAGGAGTGTAAGGCACCAGGCCCAGCAGTTTGACTCTCTAACCATATAGTTGTAGCAATTAGGTAAAGTATTCCAGCGGAAATTCTTCAGCTGCATGGATAGTATGAAACTGCACAATGGGGAGTGCAGGGCAGGAGACAAAGTTGACTGCTGCTAGAAAACAGCACACATAAGACCAAAAGAAAGGCTAGCAGGGGCTGGGAGCAGAAGAGGCAGGCACGGAAGAGCTGGGTAGAGTCTGATGTCATGAAACAGGCTGAACGCCACTAGAAGAAATGCAGCTGATCGGCTAGATACTTTGAAGGAGGCAACAGAAGTCAAACCCTACAGTTCCTGGAGCTTTGTCCTGGATAAAGGAGGCTGCACAACATGCAGTATGGAAGGTCTGCACACCAGCCTGAGAGAGAAAGCATTTCCAGCATAGCATGAGCACTGCAATACCACAGTCTCAGAGCTCTCCACAGAGCTGTATTAGAAACACTGCCCAAGTGAGAAATTCAAACTAGACGTGCCAGAGATCACGCGTACACGTCTGGGAGGCACCAAGGATTGTGAAGGGGGCCTGCTGGTGACCACTGGCATGGTCTGGTACAAGGACTTTAGGACTACACTTGAGGCAGGACTGCGACACACTAATAGGCCTGCAAAATAGAATGGGGTCAGGGGAATGAGAGAAAGCACATACCTCTTTCTCCAAGCTTAAACTCTAAGCCCAAGTATATGCTGCCTCCTGCACTGTCAATTCAGTAACAGTCACCAGTGCCAAATCCATTTCTTCATTTCATGTTATCATCCCCAGGAGCATCAAATATGTCTGCACTATTAGAAATAGCAGAGCCCGTGGGCTGAGTCAGTTCTTCGAATTTGGAGCACAGGGTTCATTTTATTCCAGGTGACTAATAAAGATCTAACAAAGAGGTATATTAAAGAACCTCCACCAGGACAGTCCTGTACCTACAGGGTCTTGAGCTGAAACACCAGTCAGCCTGAAATTACCATAGATTAAATAAAAACTTTCATTTTTTGTTGAAACAGAACACAATCCAGTTCATCAGCTACTAGAATCATTAATCAATGATGTAAAGGTGACATAAAATAATTGAATAATTACCTTCTAAGGTATTGCCTAAGGCCCTGCTTCTCTTGATTGCTCTGTTCATTCAGATGTACGAAGGAATTAAAGCTACAGGCTTG